CCCAGTTTGACTACTCTGACCATCAGCCCTCAGGACCCTATTATGGCCATTCGGGCCAGGCCTCTGGCCTCTACTCGGCCTTCTCCTACATGGGGCCCTCACAGCGGCCCCTCTACACGGCCATCTCTGATCCCAGCCCCTCAGGGCCCCAGTCCCACAGCCCTACACACTGGGAGCAGCCAGTATATACGACGCTGTCCCGGCCTTAAAGGGGGCCCTGCCACCACTGCCCCCTGGCCCCTCTGGGTAGCGCATCCCTCCCCCCAGCCCTTGCGCCCTGTTCCTCGCCCATCTCAGGCCTGGTGGTGGCTGTGGAGGAGGCTGCAGAGGCTGACAGCTGAGGGAAGGCTTTCTGTCTGGCTCACTGCCTTTGATGACCCCAACCCATCCTATCCAGGCTCCAACCCAGGCAAAGCCCTGAGCTACTAGGCTGGGCAGAGGAGAAGGAGGTTGATTGTTGCCCCTAGACTGAAAGATGAGGGGCTGTACCTAATCCCCAGGAATGACCCTCGATCCCAGGACCTGAGAAGGACCCGCTCACCCTCCTCTGGGAGGAGGGGAAAGCATCCAGGGTCGGATGGGAATCGGAGGCCTTGCCACTCCTGTGCCCGTCTGCTCTCTCGTGGAGAATGAGGGGTCTGAGAAAATCGTGCCACCTGTGCCATGTGCCTAAGAGCAAGGCCAACCAGAGACCTGCATCAGTGCCTGGAGTGGGCTATGTCTGGCCCTCGGGGGCTGAGGACAGCTTTGAACAGCTTCGGGGGGCGTGGGGTGGGGTGGGGGCTCAGAAGGAGGTCTCCTCATCCCCTCAGTGCCCCCTCTCCTGAACACAGGAAGGAATTGGCACAGGGGCCCCAGGACCAATTCTGTGCCAATAACCTCATTCTTTGTCTTATTGAGAAAGAGAGCCCCTGTCTTACTCCACTACAACCTCCCAGACCTAGAGGGGCATCCCAGGAAGCAAGGAGGCAGGGGCTCCGGGAAAGGATTCGGAGACAATTCACAGAGCCTTTCTCCCAGGATCCTGGCCAACTCCCTCTCCCCTCACCAGGCTCTGTGGCCCCTGCTCTGTCAGCCCCAGCCCCTTGGGCTTCCCAGAGAGTTATAGCTGCTCAGGCCCAAACCCTCGGCTCCAGGAGGACACACAGGGCCCAGCCCCCAGGTTGCTGACAGCAGGCTGAAGACACTAAACTCCTGACATGTACATTCTGCCCTGGCCTTTCGCCCTTTGCCTCCCAGTGGTATCTGAATAAAGTATGTAGCTCTATTCTGCCCCTATTTTCCTGTTCTGCATCCCCCTCAACCCACATGTAACTCATTACTGCCCCCCTTTATTTATCTCGGTAGCTCCCTCTCCCCTCTCCCTCCCCTAGCTACTTCAGCCCCTACTAACTCTGCATTAAGCATTCCACATAATAAAATTAAAGGTTCCAGTTACCACTTGGTGGGCCTGACCTGGCCTGTCTCTTGGTCTCTTATCCCTGTACCTGGGCTTCCTCAAACATTTTCTGGAAGTAGCTAGGGGGGGAATGCAAAGGATAGATAATCCAAAGGTCTCCTCTCTCCCCTAAGAAGGTGGAGGTGATGCAGTGGGTTAGGACAACTGGCATCGCAGTGCGGTCAGTCTGTGCTCATGAGTGAGGCCTCAGATGGCAGCTCCCTCCCCCACTGTGTGCCCACACCGCAGGTGGGCCACTCGCTGGCAAGCGGGAACTCAGTGAGAGCGCCTTTCAAGCAGCCCCTGTGCTCGCCCAGCAGAGAGGGGACCTTGCAAAGAGTTCAAGGGACTGGTCCACTCCAGGATCTAGCTGAGACCTCAGAGCAGCTGCCAGTGTCTAGGTGTAAAGCAAGGATGACAGACGAGCAATCTAATCCTTCATTGCTTCCTCCCCAAGAGCTCTTTCCTAGGCAGAACTCCAACCTGCATTCGGGGGCCACAGGCCACTCCACCTCAGGGACAGGGTCAATCTCCATGGATGGACGGCTCTGGTTGTTGGACATCCTTCCTTATACCCGGCTCAATAACAGTAATAGCTGCCATGTACCGAGTGCTCCCTGGCCAAGGGCTTCATGTCATCAGGCCTGTGAGGGAGTGGGTCAGACCGTCAGCCCCAATTTCCAGATGCGGAAGTGACGCTTTCAGAGGTTGATGCTAAGTGCTGGTGCCGGAATTCGAAGCCAGCTCTGATGCCAAAGCTCGTGCTCTTAACCATCATCTCTTCCACCTGCCCATCGTTTGCCAGCCCTACTTATGCTTTTAATCTGAAGTGATGCCTCCTTCACTGCTCCAGATCAGCCTTGCCAGCTCCCTTACCCGTTTCTTCTATCTGTGGGCTCCCACCCCTCACTTCCTAGTCAGGACCTGGGGTGGGGTGGGGTGGGGTGGGGAGCACCAAGAACCAGCTGCGTCCTCCAGGGTGGCCAAACTCCCATCTGGAAGCTGCATCACGTGGGCTCTTCAGGCAACCTCGCCAACACTGCTGGCTGCCATGAAGCTTAGTGGTAACTGCAAACCCCTGCTCTTGTAGACGATATCTCTGCCAAGTCAGATCACCCTAAACTGTATATAAGCTGTTTTCTGGTGTTTTGTTTATTTTGTTGTGTTGTAGATAAATGCAGGATTTTATACTGATCTTTAACAGATTTCATCTTGTTGGATTTGACCATTTCCTCACCTGTATTAAATCTTTTGGAATTCTGAATCCAACTTATTAGCTCTCCTTCTGAGCTTTATGTATCTGCAAACTTGAATATCCTCATTCAAGTCACTAATAAAAAAGGTTGAATGAAGAGACAGACCCTGTGTACACCACTAAATACCTCTCCATCATCAATTCTATTATCTACACTCTTAGGAAAAACTGTCCAATCAATTATGAATCTATCTAATTATATCACCACAAAGTGCAAACTTCTCCATCAGAGCCAGATGGAAAGCCTGCCATCAAGATTCACTCCATCTGTGGCATTCCTCTGACCTACCAGACCACTAGCCATTGAAAAAAGGAAATTTGGTTCATTTGGCCCCATTCTTAGAAAGCCTATGCTAGCTCCTGGATCTCCTGTTTATTATTTTAAAATATGCAATAACCTATTCTGGAATTTTGTTAGGGATCAATCAGTACTAATCTTATTTGCTCATGATTGCTACAACCCAGCCTTTCCCCTCTACTGAAAAGCAGGACATTAGTCCATTTCCAGTCTGTTCACTGCTCCTGCTCTCAGTGGGATTGTGGACACGGAGCCAGCAGGGCAGGGGGAAGGGGCTACATCAAGATGAAACCACCACCTCCAGGATCCTGCACCTCATGAGACCCACTGGGATGTCACAGGGGATACAGGAGAAGGGGAAATGCCCCCGAGAGGACAAATGACCCCGGAGAAGTCAGAAGACCTGGCTTGTGCTCATCCCTTAGACCTAAGGTTCCGGATGTGCTCGGGCCTCAGTAAGGTAGTGGCTCCACGTGTAAAGAGAGAAGGGGCCAGGTGTTTCTGGAGAGGATTGAAGAGACTACGCCCAGGTCTGGCCAGCTGAGTAGCAAAGGACTGACCCCTGAAAAGGGAGCAGAATGGGAAGAGGGAGGTGAAAGGAAAACACCCCTTTCTCCCTCTCGTACACCCAATCCCCTAAGGGTTAACCCCTACGCCTCTCCAGCCCCTTCTCTCCTCCCCCGCCCAAACCCCATCTCCCTTTAATCACATCTGATACTGAGCAGCCCAGCAGGAACAAAGAGACCATTTAGAGAAACGGGGCCGAGAAAGTGACCCCCGCACTCTGGGGCGGCCGCCTGGATGCCAGCACAAAGGCGGCATTTCAGAGCTGAAATTTCAGCACCCAACTTGATTAAAGGATTCCACAGGCTTGGAGGAGGGTGGAAGGGGGTACGAAGTCCACTGCTCCCTGAATTAACCCTTCTCCAGGCCAACAAACACCCCTCCCATTCCTATGGATGCTCATCACTCCCACCCTGTCCAGGGTGCACCCACCCCAGGGACCCTGCCTCTTGCAGAGGTCCAGCAAGCCCAGCTCCTCCTCTTCCTGGAAGGGGACCTGGCAGTGGAATGGAAGTCAAGGCTGGAACATTCAGGGAGCCAATATTCCCTCTATCTCTGTTGGTGTCTATATACACCCTCTCCCTGTCGCCCGAGGGAGGGAGGAACCGTGATTGGTCTTACTGCAGGTTGGGTAAGCGGGGTGGAGAAGACAACAGGACCTATTAGAACCTAGGGCAGAGGGAGGGGAGCTCCAGTCCTGATCTGATGTCACATCTTAGACTCAGGAGCCCTGCTTCCCTGCCCACCATCATCCCAGCACCCATGCCAGTCAAGGCCTCGGAGAATCACAAGCCCCACACAGAAGGGAAAGGAGATCTTCCAGAGGGTGGGAAGGAGAGGGTATGGGTGTGGCAGACCAGAGAGGTGGGCCACGGAGGACAGTGTGTGGGCAGTGGCCTGAGGAGTGGGGACTGAGCGGACCAGGGGTGGGCAGGTGCTCGGTCCTTGCTCCAGCTGCTAACTTATCCAGCAGGGCTCTGCTTGGGGAGGGCAGGAGATCACTGCATCCCCAAGCTTCCTGCTGGGGCACTGCTCCTGAAAGGGGATCTGAGCCCACGATAAGAGGCTCGAGGCAGGTCCTTAGGAAACAATGGGTGACTTGATGAGACCTGCTCTGTGATACTCCTGAGAAGGGAGAAGCCCCTGAAGCCAGTCCCCACTGGAAAGGAAATTGGGGGTTTCCGTGGCAACCAGTTCCCTGGGCACAAAGGCTCGTCTGTCTGCTGGGAAGGCAGCTGAGGTGTCTCCCTGCAGCAGCCTTTGCTCTGGTGAGCGGGGAGATGGAGGGAGGGATGCGGGGGATCCACAGGGGTAAGAGCCCCTGGTGCTTCTTAAAGAGCTGACGGTCATGGGGCCACCGAGATGGGTGCACACTCCAGGCAGCATGGCAGTGACAGGGAAGCAACAGGTGGGCATCTCGGATAGCTGGAGGCAGAGCGGGGTGAAAGGCTGACTAGTTTATTTACATGCATGAAGAATGTGAGAACAGAAACTGGGGATGAGGCGTAGTCAGGAAGAGGATCCCAGCTCAGTCGGTGATGATGAGCTCGTCTACCCCCCAGTCTTCATAGCTCCCGTCTGGCAGGTAGCGGCGAATGATGATGGGGATCTTTCGGGCCCTGTGGCAGGGGAGAAGTCACAAGTGCATGAGAGCTGGTAACCTCAGCTCTACAGCAGAAGGGACAGATTGTGTGCAGAACGCAAGGAAAGAGAAGTCTTAGGAGCATCCTCTTGGGACTGTGAGTGTACTCTGTAGGAAAGGAATTACAATAAGAAGCAAGTTCCTGCGCCCCTGAGTGGGTCTGGGTCTGGAAGGGCTCTGCCACCCCATGGCTGAAGGGAGGAGGGGGAACAGTGGAGGAATGCTGCTAAGGCCATCTGCAGCAGGAACAGGCAGGTTCTGACAGACAGGAGAGGTCCATGTCTCATCAGTGCTGCCCCCTTTGCCTGCCCTCCTCGCCCTCCCTCCTCCTTCCTGGTAGGCTGATTCCTGAACAAACTACGGATCTAAAGGAACAAGAACTACACTTCCCCAGCCAGGGAAGTGGGGGTCGGGATGTGCAGCAGAGAACCCAAGGGAGGCCTCCCAGGCTCTGGAGCAGTGAACCATGATCTGGGCGACTTACTTGAGCTCTTTCATGGCGATGAGCAAAGGATCTGTCTCCCCCTCCAGCTCCACCATCACGGGGGCACACATCCTGTAGGTATAGGGACAGGTATTGGGGGAACTACAAACACAAGGAGAATCAGCATCCGGGTCGTCATCTAGGAAGGTCACCTTCTAGGCAGGGAGGCAGACAGGCATGGTGGCTGGGGAGCAATGGCTCAGGGCACTGACAGCGAGGGTACACGAGTGGAAGCCAGTAAACTAGACTCAAATTTTGCCTCCCAAGACACTGAATTTCTCAGTATCCCCATTTGAAAATGAAGACAAAAAGCCCTGCCTCACCTACACGACGGTGAAGCTACAACACTACAGGCTAACGAGCAAAAGCACACCAAGTGCCTTACGCTGTTCTCAGCTCTTTACACAGATGATCTCATCTGAGGTGAGAACTATTGTTATTTCCATTTTACTGATGAGGAAACTGAGGCACAGAGAGGTCAGTAATTTGCCCAAGGTCACACAGCCAGTAAGTAGCAGAGCCAAGATTGGAACCCCGCACGTTCCCACCCACTGTACTATAACACCTCCCGTTAATAAGCTGAAGATTCATAAACTTAAAAAGCTATTGTGCTGGGCCGGCCCCGTGGCTTAGAGGTTAAGTGCGCGCACTCAGCTGCTGGCGGCCCGGGTTCGAATCCCAGGCGCGCACCAACGCACCGCTTCTCCGGCCATGCTGAGGCCGCGTCCCACATACAGCAACTAGAAGGATGTGCAGCTATGACATACAACTATCTACTGGGGCTTTGGGGGGAAAAAATAAATAAATAAAATCTTAAAAAAAAAAAAAAAAGGTATTGTGAATGGGATAGGTGTAAGCTTTCATCACAAGGCCAAATGACATTCATCATGTCAGCTCCACTGCCAAGGACCTTCCCCAAGGCCTATCACCGACTCCTGAGCCGAGCAGCCATGGCAGAGTATTCGAGCACAAAAGAACAAAAGGAAGGGCAGGTGCAAAGGCTGGCCCTTCTGACCACTCTAACCCAACCTCTTGGCCCTGCCTCAGGGCCCAGCGCACCTCACTGTCCCTCAGGGGTCCTGCTCTTCCAGCCTCACACGGGGCCTGCAGCCAGGCGCTCACTTACTTACAATGCTTCCATGATGCCCCACGACCATCAGGCAGAACCCAGTCTGGCCCCTGCTCACCTTTCTAGCACCTTCTCACCCTACATGCCTATATTTACCCCACGTTCCCGCCATACCAAACTACTCTGGTTCCCTGGACATACCCCATTGTTTCCTTTGTGTCCTCTTACAAGCTCCTCCTCTCCCTACAGCCTGAGAGAGGCTCAAACGTCTCCACTCTGGAAATCATTTGCTGAGTCCTCAGTGCCCTGACTCATTTCACATACGCTTCCCCCTCTCACTGTACTGTAACTACAGGTCTGAAGTTTTCACACGGACCATGAGCACCTGGTGGCCCAGGACCACACGCCCTAGCACAACACCTGGCCCACAGAGAGGCTCTGAAAACAAACCAGGCACAGTGCCAGTTGTAGGCCCACCTCCTGCAGGAAGCCACCCTTCATGATTCCAGCTCAAGTTTACACTAATGGATCCCAAACCTGAGAATCATCAGAATTACTAGGAGAGCATGCTAAAAATACAGGTTCCCAGGTCCTGCCCCAGACCCTCTGAACAGACTTTCTAGCGAAGGAGCCTGAGAACCTGCATTTGCAAAGCTCCCCAGGTGATTCTGGTAATCAGCCAGTCTGAAATCCACCAGTTTACATCAAATAATTTACTAACTTTATTACTAAATATTTTTATTTCTGTTCCTCTCAAAAGCCTAAAAATTTCCCAAGGGCAGAGACCAAGAGTTTACCGTTCCCTATATCCTCTATCAGTAAGTAGTTAAATTTCTCCCAAATTTAAAGCTTTAAAGGATGTGGCAAAATGCTTTTCCTGATCTGCATATGCCTTATTTCTTTCAAGATGAATAATTCAAGAGCATTCACTCACCCAGCCCTACTATGTGCATGCGATGTGGGAACATGAGCATGCCCTCAGGTACTCTGTCTCACATCACGGCTACGAGCCTTAGGAAGTGGCCGCCAGGTGGTGCTAATGAACCAGAGTGAGACTTCATCCAAAAACTATCCAAGAAATGTTTGTTCAGCACCTACTAAGTGCAGGGGCGCATGCCTACTGCTAGAGATAAGATACAGCCCCAGCTGAGCAAGGGCTTACAGCAGGCGGGGAACCGCCAGACAGCGTCCTAGCCCTTAATCAAAGGAGCACTATAGACCCGAATAAGCCGGACCGAGCCTTGCTCCCAAAGAAAAGCGGGACACTGGGACTTGGTGGTGGTCTGAATGTCTGCCTCCAAACTTTTAAGTGCTCCACACTGCCCACCAAATGCAGGCTAATCTTCTGAACTTGTCCCTCAAGGCACTAGTGACACCTTTTCCAGTCTTGTGCCCCAAGCCACTTGCCATTCCCCCACCACAAGCCACACTTGCTTGCCTCCACCTGGACCTTTCCTTGTGCTGTTTCTGGCAACTGGGATACCCTTTCTCTGTCCCCGCGTGACGTCTAATCCCTTCGTGAGGCTCTCCCAGTCACCCCTGCTATTACCCGCTTCTGTCCTTTTTTGTCCCTCTTGTGAAGCACCAGTCCCATCTGCCTCAGGTTCTGGGTATTTGTGAACAGGTGCAATTCTCCCAGCAGACTGTAAACACCTGGAGGCCTGGGGAATCGTGTCTTTTACCATCTTCACATCCCCAACAGGTGCAAGCGCAGTATCTTATTCAAACTTGCAAGACTAACTTGCATACAGTCTATTTGCTTGAAAAATAACTTACGAGTTATTCTTTCTGCTGGGTCACTTTCAGCAGAAACGAGCGAGCGCTGCCCCACAGAATGCTCTGCAAAAATGGAACTGTCCTCTACCTGCACCATCCATTACAGTAACCCCTAGCCACCTGTGCCTACTGAGCATCTGAAATGTGCCGAACACACAATTTTCATTTAATTTTACTTCATTTAAATTTAACTGCCCACATGTATCTAGCAGCTACCATAATTGATGGTGCGGGCCTAGAGGACCCCGACCCCTGTGATACTAAAATTATCAGAGTGAGTGCAGCTCTAATTTCACCCAGACCAGCAAGGAGTACAGGCAGGCTGGTCAGAGGTCTACTGCTACAGAGTGGATGAGGAACAATGTTGCCTGCCTACAAAATCCTTTATGAGGTGGAGCCGGTGGTCATCTCTACCCCACAGGACTGCAAGAGATCAAGTCCAATGCTGACTGGAAACGAGTGAGGGAAGGCACGGACTGAGCATCACTGCCCCTCCAGCATGCATGACCCCACAAATCTGGCCCCAGCTTTTCTTTCTAGTCGATTTTACACTATTCCCTACTTGGAGCACCCCCTCCTCCAGATACCCACCCTTTCCCACCCCAGCTTGTAAGAAGTTTGGGGTGGGAGCTCACTTCCCCAGCCTCATGTTTCCCTGGAGAGGACGTTCCATTAGAGTGACAGTATCACGCCTGCCCTCTCTCTGTCCCCCTACTCCCTCCTCCCCAGGAAGGAGGAATAACTTATCTGACAGGGGAGACTAAGTGGAAAAGCAGGTATCCATGGCCCAGCATCTTCAAGAGTCCCTGCTTTCTCAAAGCCACCAGCCTGCAGAGAGGGCACTTTCCAGTCTGTTCTCCACGATGCCCACACATTAGGAGGCAGGCTTGTCCCTGCAGACACAGCCCCTGGACCCTGCACTGCCTGAAAATGCAACTATCAGACATTTTGATCTCCAGTTGTCTACTGGTTAGCTCCTGAATCTTGTTATTCTTCAACTGGTTCCAAACTCGGGAGAGAAAGCAAAGGTTGCAAATTTCGAATCCCCAAAACCCCCCCCACTGCTCTGTGCTGTCCCATCTCTAGTGGAGCCTCTACCTGGAGGGCCTCCCACTCCTCTGGGCTGGCCACAGTCTACCTCGAGTCAAGAATCACCTTAAGCCCAGTGGCTGCTGCAGCAGTGCCCCCAACTAACTGGCCCACAACGGTCAGGGAGCTCTGAAGCCACACTCTGTTTTTCTTTGCTTCATTAACCTGACAGGCAATCATCAAGTTCTGTATTTTTATTGTTATTCTTCCATGTACTGTTATTTGACTTCTCAGAGGTTCATGTCCTATTTCTCCTATTGGACCACAAACTCCCTGAGGGCAGGGGTCTAGCGCAGTGCCTGGCACACAGGGACCGCACCACCCTTTTTAGAACATGAGGGCAGGGAGGGGCCAGGCTGGGCTGGATCAGCAGCTCGAAGGCTTGCTGTGGCCTGACCGATGGAAAGATGGGGAAGGGGCATGCACTCACGCGATCTGGAGGGCTCGGGTGCCCAGCACGCGGGCTCGCTCATACTTGGTCATGTATGGGGTGGTGATTCGCTTCTGGTTGGCCTGCGGTCGCTCTCCAGAGGGGAGGATCTCAACGTTCTCCTGGCCCTCCTGGACACCAAGACAGAAAAGAGGGAAAAATCTCAGGGTGCATTTTTTGGGGTGAGGGGGAGGATAATGACGACAATGATTATCACCACCAGAAGTAGAGGGCCTGGAGATGGGGCAGTCCCAAGAAGTCCTTGAGCACAGGCAAAAAATCACCCTAAGCACGAAGTGAGAAACAAGCACTCCATCTTTCAGATAGGGTAACTGAGTCAATGGGTCAAGTGGCTAAAAAGTCAGAGTGAAGGCAGAAATATACAAGCACACATGCACATATATTCATATATTTAACAATTACTTATTAAACATCTGCCATGAGCCTGACATCATGATAGGTGCTGAGACAGAAAGCTAAGAGTTTCTGCTCTCAAAGAACTCACGTCTAGGGAGGAGACAAGAGTAAACAAAAGAGCAGGTACTAGGAAGGTGTGCAATACTGCAACACAGTTACTAAGAAGGGGGCCCATCTAACTCATACCGGGGGATAGGAAGACAGTCTAGAGATGAGACTTGAGCTTGTCTAGAAGGATGAGAGAGAATGTACTAGGTTTGGACAACTAACTGTGGAGTATAATTACAGCACAAGATGTATATAGGATCATAGGCAGGAGAATAAATTCTATAATAAAGAATTAAATCAACAAATATTTATTGAGTGCTTACTATATGTCAGATAATGTTCTAAGTGCTCGAGACAGAGCAGTAAGAAAGATAAAAATTCTTCCCCCTAGAGAGCTTACATCATGATGAGAAGATATAAACAATAAACAAAATTAATAAGTAAAATATGTAGTATAAAAACAGAGAAAAAAGACAGGGAGTGGCAGGGTGGTGGTGTGGGAGGAGGGGGAGAATGCGGCAATTTTAAATAGGATGGTCACGGAAGGCCTCGCTGAGGTGACACTTGGACAAAGACCTGAAGGAGGTGAGGGGCAGGTCCTGTGCATATCTAAGGGAAAAGTGTGCCTGGAAGAGGGAACAGCATGATCAAAGGTCCTGAGCAGGGGTCTGCCTGACATGACAGGGACAGCTAGAAGGGGTAAGGTCACAGAGGAAACAGGCAGCCAGATCATGGAGGATCTTGTACGTCTTTTTGGCATTTACTCTGAATGAGACGGGGAGCCATTGGATGAGGGTTCTAAGCAAAGGAGAGACACAGTTTCACTTAAGATTTAAAAGGATCATCCTCAATACTCTGTTGAGAATATCCTGTAGGGGGCAAGGGTGGAGGCAGAGAGACCATTTAGGGAGACCAATAGTAATCGATCAGGTAGGCAGGTAAGAAAGATGACTCTGGCAGCAGGAAGGCAAACGCAGCAGACTGAAGGCAGGAAAACCAGTAACACAATTTCTGCAGTCACGTGGGTGTAGAGCAATGAAGATCTAAACCGGACTGCGGCACTAGGAATGGAGAAACGGAACAGGGCTGAACCACATGTAGGAGGCAGAATCAACAGGACAGGCATGGAAGGGACCAGAGGGATGGAGGAGGTTTCTGACTCAGTGAATAGGGACCTGAGAGTGCCATGCAGACAGAGGAAATCCAAAAAGACAGCTTCAGCTTCCTAGACTAAAAAAATTGAGGGATCACTCTCTCTCCAGGAGACACAAAGCACCTCTTCCTCCATCAGTCACACAGGACAGAAAGCCCTATTTTATTCATGAAGCTGGTAACCCATCCACCTAAATGATCAAGCCAGAAGGCTTGGAATCATCTTTGCCATCTCCCACTTTCTCAGCCCCACACCCAATCCACCAAAATCTCTCTTTCATGTTTTCTCATCACTGACACTACCAGCATCCAAGTCCAAGCTACAGGTCTCTCACCTGGAGATCTATGCAAGTCCCCTAACTGGTCTCTCTCTTTTACTCTTGCTCCTCCCCAATTCACTCCTCACTCTGAGGCCAGAATGCTCTTTCTAAAGTGTAAACTGGATCATGCCACTCCCCGACTCAAAACTGGTCAGTGGCTTCCCGCTACCCTTAGGCTACAATAGCCTGCCTGATCTGGGCCCTAACCTGTCCAGCTTTATCCCAGGTCACTCTCCTCCTTGCTCCTTATGTAGCCCCACCCTGCAGAGCACCCGGCACCTAATAAACATTCAACAAGTGTTCACTGACTTGCTCACCCCTCAGTGAACTAATTGCCCCAGAAGCCATGGGCTGTGGTCCAAGTGGACAAAAGCCTTCAGGACCACCTGTAGGGCTTCTCCACTACCCAGGACTGGAACTCTGCTCTAACTGGGGGGGCTTGTGGCAGGGGCCCTGACCATGAACAGGAGGGAGATGCATTCAGGCAATTATCACCGCTGGGCTATCTGGCAGCTTGGGCTGCAGACGCAGGAGCCCACAGCTAAATACTGACCTCCTCGGCCTTCTCCAAGTCATCTAGCCCTTCATCCTCCTCCACATCATCAAAGTCGTCACCATCAAAACTGTACGAGAAGAAGAGGCCAGTTAGTTGAAGCATCACTTACTAGAATCCAAGAGGACAGGGATCTGTGTCTCACCCCATATGTTAGAGGCACTCAATAAACACCTACTTAATGAGTGAATCAAACTTCTGTTCCATTTACTCCTTCAACTTTTCCTCATCAGCCCCTAAATTTTGCTAGGAGTCACTCATCATCACTGTTTCTCTCTCTACTGGATCATTCCCATCAGCATGTAAACATGTAGTTATCTCCCCATCTTAATAAACAAAACTCATTTCTCTATTCCCTCTCCACGGAGCCCTATTTCCACGCTCTCCTTGAGAGCAAAATTCATGAAAGAGTCATCCACCTCCACTGTTTCCAATTCTTTTCTTCCCATTCTGTCATAATCTCACTCCAAGAAGACTTGCACCTCCCCGGCTCCGTCAAAACCACTCCTTTCAAGCTCGTTAATGATTTCCACGTGGCTACATCCAATGGACTATTCTTGTTCTCATTTGGCGTGACCTGTCAGTTGGCACACTAGGTCACTCACTCTCGCTCAGTACACTCTCCTCATGTGACTGCAAGGACACCTCACTCTCTTGGTGTTCCCCCACCTCCCTGGCTGCTCCTTCTCAGCCTCCTTTGCTGGTTTCTCCTCTTTTCCCCCCCAGCACTCCATGTTGGAATGCTCTGACGCTCAGTCATCTCCTCTTCTCTACTGACTCTCCCCTGATGAGCTCACCTGTTTCTTCCTTCTGACTAATATACTTAGGCTGATGATTGCCCTATTTTTATCTCCTCCAACCCCCCATGTCAGGAAATCTTTTTGGCTCTAGCTTCAAAATAAACCCAGAATTCAAAACCACTTCTCACGACCCCTAGTACGCCACCTTCTCCCACGTGGATACTTCACACCTCCCAGACCTCTACCACCTCCAGGCCTGGCCTGACCCTCCTCTGGATTACCTCTATACTACATCTACTACGTAATCTCACGCGACCCCGTATTATCTGTTTACGGGCCTGTCCCCTCTTCTAGAAAAGAAGCACCTGGAGAGCAGGGACTACGCCTAATTCACCTCAATACTCCCATTACAAGACACAGAGGCGGGGTCAGTGGAAGTCTGCTGAAAGACACCCTTCTCACTGATCCTTTCTGGTCGTCGAGCCTGGGGCTTTCTGTGTCCAGCCTCTGGCCCGGTCTATGCTCCCGGTTCTCCACCCTTCCCTTCTCCAGCTCCGCGGGCCCTCAGCACCCCTAGCCCCTCAGACACTGCCCCTCGACCTGGCTCCTCGGCCTCCTCTGACCCAGGCCCCCGCCTCACCCGCCCCTTCCGAGACACCGCAAAGGCCACTTCGCTCCCGCACTCACTTGTCCTCGTTGTCTGACATGACGCCCGCGCCGAGGCGACGCGGGTCCGCACCTCAGACCCACGCGGCGACCTGTCCACAACGCGCCTTCTCCTCCAGCGGCGCCACGCGTTACTCTGCGCCTGCGCCGTGACCCAGAGGCAATCACTTCCGGGAGGCAAGCAGGAGCGATATATGTGCGCATGCGCCCAGAGACGCGTGCTCGTTACCATGGTAGCCAGAGCGTTTAGCTGCCGGCTCTGGTGCCAAAGATCTCCAAGTATTTTTGCGGGGCCCCGGTGAGGGTGCCGCGGTGGTTACGGTCTCTGGAGCCCGCGCCGCTCTCTGTGGGGACAGGGGCACCCCGCCGGGGTCTTACTTTAGGGTGAGGTTTCAGTTTTGGCGTATCACCCAATGGGCTCTGTCGTAACCACCGCTATCCTAATGCCCCCTTCCTCCTAAGAGGACTTCCCTGCCACAGGCGCCGGGTTCGGCTAAGGTCTCGGTTCCCGTGTGTGTGCATCTGCTTGTGTATCTGTTCGGGGTAAGAGAATCGGGCACTGTCACAGTATTGACGGGCGGCGTCAGGAGTCTCTTGCGGCCCGAACCCCGCTCCCAGACTTGGGATGGTGTTGGGGGATGCGGGAGCAAAGATTGGACCTGGGAGACATGGATGTGTCATTGCGTTTTCCCTCCTCAAGGTCCTCCCATGGCTTCCCAGGTGAGGGTGGAGGCAGTGACCAAAGGAACAGGCTTCTGGCGCTGCCCCAAGCCGGCCACTTACTCCCGGAGGACCTGTGAGCTGCTCAGAGGTCAGTGCGCTGAAGGACACAAGAAGAGCAGTGGTAACAGTTACCCTGTGTAACTCACTTCTCCCCTACATGACCTATGTATGGCTTAGCGATTGCTATTTTCGTTTTACAGATAAGAAGCCTGGGGTTCAGAAAGGTTCAGAGATCCTACAACTTGCAAGTGGCCAAAAGTCAAAGAACTAAGAATTTTAGAGTTAACTCCTATGCATCCCTTAGATCACACTTTCAGGTACCCCAGGGAAGCCTTATTTCCTCCCTATCCACCACCACCACAGTGGAACCCACTGTTATGTGCCCTCATACTACCAAATACCTTTTCCTTCATTGGGCTTAGTGCAGCCTGTGATCAGATATTTAGTGTGTCCATTAGATTAATATCCTTCTAACCCTCTAGCTCGTGAAATCCATCAGGGCAGGGATTGTGCCTGTTTTGGCTCCCAATTGTAGCTCCAGCCGCTGGCATGTGCTTAATGAATAATTGTTCATTCATTCATTCACTCAAGAAAAAATTTTTAAAAGGCCATTGTGTGCTTTAGGCATTGTTCTAGGTGCTGAGGATACAGCAGTAAAAAATTTTTTTAAAAAAACAGCAAAAATTCTTGCTCTCCTGGAGCTAATATTCTACTAGGAAGGTAATACATGATACGTAAAATATATATAACTTAGGTGGTGATAAGTGCTACAGAAAAAAAATGAAGCAGGAAAGGGAGAGTGGGAGTAACGAGGTGCAGAATGGGGGTAGGAGGTGATACAGTTTTAACTTTAAATAGAGGGAGACGAGGGCATCTGCCTACAGCCCAGGAGGCCTCATAGAATGCTTTATTTTGCAGTGATGATGAAGGAATCCAGACTGACTAACTTCCAACAGCGCCACATCATGGACACCATGAAAAGTAAGAGGCAGTCCACAGAGGCTTCCTGGGCAGAGGGGTTCTGGGCCACATTTTTAATACTCCTCTACATAAGGGGCAGGGGACCTCTTTAAAAAGAGGTCATTTAAAAAGACCAAAAAAATAAAATTGAATAGTATTTCTGACCCTTGCTCCTGGGGAATTGACCTTGTGGGACCTTTGCCTCTTCCCCAGACATGGGTCCTGACACAGCAAGCCTCCTGCAGTCCAGCTCTAGCCGACCTTCCCAAGAGATCACAGCCCAATAGAGACTTCCTGCCCAGCCACATAGTCTCAACACTGTCAAGTCTGCAATCTGTCCCTCCCTCCTACACACACACCATGTGAGTCCTCCAGGGGAGAGGACTGTGTGTGTCTTATTCATCATTTTATTCATTCATAGCTTAGCTAGCACAAACAAGGTAATTGGCAGAATTCCAACTTAGGAAAAATATGCAAAACATTTCCACAGCTCACCTCTGACCACATGTTGTATTATTTATTTTTAAGGAAAACAAAAAGTGGAATTCCATGGGCACAATAGCAAGCTGCCCTCTACGATCTTGAAAACAACCTTGCTTTCTGAGATTTAACTGAATCAACATTTAGTGGATCAGAACAGAGATCTGTAAAGTTGTCTCTTTTTTTTATAATTTTTTTTTTTTTTTTGAGGAAGATCAGCCCTGAGCTAACCTCTGTTGCCAATCCTCCTCTTTTTGCCGAGGAAGACTGGCCCTGGGCTAACATCCCTGACCATCTTCCTCCACTTTATATGGGTGGCCGCCACAGCATGGCTTGACAAGCGGTGCGTAGGTGCGCGGCCGGGATCGAACCCTGCGCAGTCAAAGCGGAGCGCGCGCACTTAACCGCTAAGCCACTGGGCTGGCCCTGTAAAGTTGTCTTTAAGAGAGAGAATGTCAGAAGGTCCAAGCCTGCTGAGTTTTACTTGAATCTACTGAAAGCTATTGCCTTCTCTCAGGAAGGAATGTGCTTATCAGGAGAGCATCTGATCAACCAAAGAAGCATAGGGAAGGGAGAGTCAGAGAGGCAAATATTGGCAGTGCCTTCCCAGCACTGGCTGGGGGAGGGAGGCTCCGTCAGGCCAGTTCAGAAGTCAGATCTCCTTTCTCCTTGTGGACAAGGACAACTCAGGCTGCCAGAGCCACAACACAGCCGAATCACACAACTCAATCTCCACACTCAGTAATGTACTAATAATCTGGTGTCCCCTGTAGCATGACTACAAAGAGAATGTGCTAGAAAGTCCACTAAAAGTAAATAGCATGAGACCGAGGACTGTGTCGGCCTTGTTCACCACGGTAGCCCCAGCTCGTAGGTGCTCGACATTTATTGAAGGACTAATTACATTAGTGGTTAGGCCAACACAAGTTACGGGTTCACCTGGCAGTTTTAGTCTCCTTAGTTTTCTTTTTTAAAAATTGCCTCCAGGGGCCGGCCCGGTGGCACAAGTGGTTGGGTGTGCGCACTCCGCTGCGGCGGCCCGGGGTTCGCCGGTTCAGATCCCGGGCGTGCACCGACGCACCACTTGGCAAGCCATGCTGTGGCAGCGTCCCATATAAAGTAGAGGAAGATGGGCATGGATGTTAGCCCAGGGCCAGTCTTCCTCAGCAAAAAAAGAGGAGGATTGACAGATGTTAGCTCAGGGCCGATCTTCCTCACAAAAAAAAAAAAATTGCCTCCAAGCACTATGTTGAGTCTGCTTTCTTCTCCTAGAATCCCCTCTCTTCCTCTCTCCTCTTAACCAAATCCTACTTGTTGTTTTGAGGGCTGGTTCAAATTCTGTTGCAAGCCACAAATTCCTCTCCTTCACCTAAGCTTCCAGAATTCCTCGGGCCATAATTATTTGCCAAGAATGGGCCAAAGGAAGAGGTAGCATTTGGCACTGGACAGCCAGAAATAGGGAGTGGACGGAGCAGGAGGGACATTCTAGGAGGCATGGCATCTCCTCACAACAGAGAGAGAAAGCTGTGGTGTGGCTCCAGGTAGAGGGGTGAGAAGGGGATGGGAGTGGGAAATAATGGCAGCTCCATCCTCTCAGTTCCTCAGGACAGACACCCCAGAGTCTTCCTTGACTCCGTTCTCTTTCTCCCAGACCCACATCCGACCCATCAGCAGTCCTGTGTGCTTGACCTTCAGACCATATCCCGCCTCTGACGCCTCTGCCCCTGCCCTCAACACTGTATTTTCAGCAGCAGCCAAAGGGGTCATGCCACTCCTCCGCTCAAACCCTGTGGTGGCTTCCCACCTTACAAAGTAAGAGCCAGTCTTTCTGGAGGCCTACAAGGCCCTGTACTCCTCTTGCCCCCCGTAACCTCTGACCCCTACTTCCACTCTGCTCCATCTTCCTGGCCCCCTAGCCTTCTGGCTGTTCCTCAGACACTCCAGGCACATTCCCACCTCAGGGCCTTTGCTCTAGCCTTTCCCTCTGCCTGGAAAGCTCTTCCCCAAAATATCTGCACAGCTGGCTCTTAGCACTTTTGGGTCTTTTCTTAAACGTTACCCTCTTCATGAGGTCCTCCCTGGCTACCCTATTTAAAACTGTAAATCCTGCTCTGACACACTGCTCCATCCCTGTACTGTCACCATCTAACATACGATATGTTTTACTTATTTTCCACACCCCAAATGTAAGCGCCACGAGGGCAGGACTTTATCTTACTCACCACTTTACCCCCAGTGTCCTGGGCCTGGCACATATTTGCTAGGTGGATGACAGAAGGCAGCTGGAAAGGTCAACAAGGTAGACAGCGGTGGATCAAAACAGGGGGTGGGGCCTGCTCTGAGCTGGGCTTTAGGGCAACTGAGAGGAGGGGCCAGTTAGCCAGGTAGGAGGGGACACACTTGGCTGGCCTGGGGGAGGAGCCCCAGATCTGGGTCAAGGCAAGGGGGAGGGACAGGAGGAGGGATTGGTGTCTATCACCATCAAACCACCCCTCCCTGCCCGTGGACCAGGCAGGTTTCAAGAATCCATCTACAGAAACAAAAGCACCAGTAGGAAGGCTTGATGTACGAGAATGTTTATTGCAGCGTTGTTTAAAGTAGTAACAAAAATGGAAACAGCCTGAATCTCCGAAACTAGGAGACTAGTCGAATAAATAATGCATCCATTCTAAGAACTAGTATGCAGCTATAAAAAATAAGTTATATATAAATAGAGTGATCTGGAAAGATGTCCATGATAAATTGTTAAGTGAAGAGTCTATTATAGAATATAAGACAGTATGATCCAGTGTTTGAAAAATGAATCTCATATATGCACATCTATCTTTGAAGATGTTTGTAGACGCATCAAAAAGTATGGAAAGAGACCACCAAATTGTTATCATTAATCATTGTAGAGGCGGGGATTGGAGGGGAGAAAGGAAGACTTTTCTGTGCTGTTTGACTTGTTATAACAGGCAGGGATCACTTTTATAAATCAAAAAAAAAAAACGCCAGGTGGACCCCTGCCCCGACCCTTCCTTCCCCAGGAGGAGACGTTCTGCCCCTACAGTGCAGCCCAACATCCAGCCAGAGGGGCTTGCCCTCCAAGCAGCCGGCCCCAGCCACCTACCTGCCTCCCATCCTGGCAGCCCGTTCCCAGCTCCGGCCTGCCAGCATGTGCCAAGCCAACGGGGCCTACAGCCGCGAGCAGTTCAAGCCTCAAGCCACCCGTGAGTGAGAGGCCCTGATGAGAGCCCCTCCTCTACCTCCCTCCAGGAGGGGGGCGACAGGGGTGGGGGACAGGCAGCCCACAGGGCAGGTGTCTAATCAAATTGTTTACAGCAATGCTCTTGAGCTTTGGCACACGTTAGCTTGGGGATGTTCAGGGTACAGGGGAAACCATTAGGTGGTCCTTTTGAAAAATTTTCCCAGAACTCTCTAACAATTAACTGGATTCTGTCAATCTCTGAGGAATCTTTGGCTGTCAGGTCTCACGGCCGCTACTCGCTCAGGCTCACACGGGGCCTCGAACCCAGAGCTCCTCTGCACTCCAGCCTACTTCACGGAGCCATTCGTCCCCGTTTCCTACTTGGCACCTGACGTAAATCTTGGCCCCTCCTACAGCTGCATGCTGCCTCTACGCACGGGCTGCCACGGCGGCGATCACTGAGTTTCCTTAGCCTTGCTCAGCACCAAAGAAGTATGTGGATTTTGACCAAGCTCTCTTCTTGGCTTTCAACCCCTCCCCCTCTGGCCTATCTGGACGTGACAAGCTCAGGAGCACCCAGGGTAGAAGGTGCTGGGTTTGCAGAAGCCCCGTCCATGTTACCAGGCACCCTGGAGCAAGCGTGCCCAACTAGGGACACAGACCACGAATGGGGAGTGCCCTGCACACCTTAACTAGGCTATTTATGGGCCTTACAGGAGATCTGGAGAAGGAGAAGCGAAGACTCCAAAATATCTTTGCCACCGGGAAGGACCCAGAGGAACGGAAAAGAAAGCGCCCTCCTGTGCAACAGGAGGACCCAGCCCCTGAGCTGGACCGGTTTGAAGAACGTAAGTCACTGATGGGCCAGCGATGCTGGGGAGGGAGTACACGTGGAGGGGACCCAGAATCAGGGAGGGAGGGTAATCCCCAGGGGCCAAAGAGTGAAAAACACTGACCACAGAACTGCTTCCTCTCCCCAAGAGAGGCAACCCGCCGCCCCATCACCCCTCCCTGGAGCCTGTGGCCCCCACTGCCCTGTACACTGACGGCCCTTCTCCCTGTCCAGTGGTGAAAGAAATCCAGGAGAGGAAAGAATTCCTGGCTGACATGGAGGCGCTGGGGCAGGGCAGACAGTACCGAGGGATCATCCTTGCTGAAATCTCCCAGGTAGGAGAAGCAACAGAGGTTGAGCCAGAGGGGAGCTGGCTGTGGATGAGAGGGAGGGGAGGCGTCCACCAGGAGTGTGGAGCACGAGACGTGAGTAGAAAGAGGGGCAGCTGTGGCCGAGGGTCCAGGAGTCTAGCTCCAGCCTCGCATCCGTGTGACTCCTAGAGTTCCCACCTTCAGACCCAGCTCTCCCCGATGCCCTGTTTGCAGAAACTTCGGGAAATGGAAGACATTGACCACAAGAGGAGTGAGGAACTTAGGAAGGCTCTGGCCTCTGCTTAATCTGTCTCCAGAGACGGGGGTGGGGTAGCCCACCCTCAACCACTGGAGCCCACCCCCTTGCCAAGCAGGGTCATCCCCAGGTCAGCCCACCCACCCTGGCCTTTAACCACGTCAAATGGTCGCACTGCCCTGGCCGAGGGTACCCTGGGCATACACAGTACCCTAGAAAACAGACCACATCTCAGAGAATGAGCTGATTCTTCTCGACACTGCCCAGGGATCCTGGGTCAGCTGAGCCTCTGAGACCCACAACCACAGATACACACACACATATACACACGACTTTGAGTCTTTCTTGGGGAAGGAGCCCCATACACAGTGAAAGCAAGGCCCCCGTCTCAGCACCTTGGGCGTGTGTCTAAGGCATCCAGCGGGCCCTCTGCCCACCACCTGCACCCACTGTGTCCTGCGATGCCGTTTTCTGGACTCAGGAACGAATATGACTCCTTTCTTCCTACCTGTCTTAGGACCTGCTTCTTTGACTTCTTACAGCCTTGGGCAAATGTTTAACTGCTTTGATTAATTGGCCAATAAAACACGTTTAACGTGGGTCATTACACACTGTTGTTTTCAGAGGAATAAGGCTTATTTGTTCAAGGAGTTAGAATTTTTCAAGCACAGGTGGTTTCTAGCTGTTTGCATATTTCAAGTGGAAATGGGAACCAACACTTCTTGAGCACCCCATGGCCGGGCACTGTGGTAGGTGCTGAATGTCACTCTGAGTTAATTCTCCGTAAACCTCTCTGATGGTTGGTTACTCCTGTGTGAAAACTGAAGCTTACCAAAATACTGTAACCAAAGTCAGTTAACTAGCAAGTAGCCTACTCAGGATTAAAAGTGAGCTTTATGTCTTCCCACTAACCCTGCAGCCCAGAGAAAGAAACACACAGGAGGGGGAGGGATCCAGACAGAAAGAGCCCTGGCGTTGGAGTTCCAATCCCGGCCCGTGCTCTGTGCGCTTGGGCAAGACCAGCCTCACCTCCGACTGCTCGTCTGTGAGGCCCTGCCTCAAAGGGCTGCTGAGGAGACATCTGACCACAACAGCAGCCCCTGGGGCCTGGCAGACAGTACACGGCAGTCCCCACGTCTTCTGACAACCACGAGCCCTCCGTTTTCTGGTATTCTGTTATTTTCCCATCCCCATAAATCAAAATATTTTGGAAATTTCAACCATCTCTGCCACCAGGAGGGATTCATATAATCCCCCAGGCCACATGACCCAAGTTTTGGTTTGCAGAATAAACATACCCCTGCAGCCTCAAACAGATAAGCAGAGAGGGCCAGATCAGAGGCTGGCTCAGGAACATTCCATCAGGAGGCTGTGTCCACAAACTCTCCAGAACCTGAGGGCAGGGGGCGCAGCATGGTGAGGACAGCCATCCTCTACCTCAAAGACCCCAACACATGGCCCAGAGGCAGCAAAATGGAGAACACCAGGACAAATTCAGCCCACCCGTGACAACACTGCCTACCCTTGATTTAAATTCAGACTAGTTGCCAATGTTTACAAATCACACACACACAATCTGGATTTCTAGCTTCTTTTGAAAAATGGAAAGATCTGACAAGACTGGGCCCGCATCCCCATAGGCTACAGTTGACTTAAGTGAGGAAGAACTTCCCCCTCTAGTTGTAGCATAGACACCCCAGTTCACCCCAGTCCCCACCACCCGAGTCTCCTGACACCTAGACAGCCTGACGGAGCCATCCCTCAGGTTCCACCCAGCCCAGTTCATGTGTGTTACTTGCTGGGCCCCTGAGAGGCTCTGGAGTGGGTGACCCCAGTTCCAGGTCAACAGGCACGTTTGGAAGGAAACTGACTGCCAGAGGCTACACAGGTGTGGGAGCCACCGCTCCCTGCAGAGGAAGGGGGTCCTGCCCAGTGGTAGGCAGTGAGGCCAAGGCCCCCGATGGCCCTCCTGGGCAACCAGAGATGCCCGGCCACAAGGCGCGGTGGAGGCAAGGAAGGAGGCAGACCTGGCTGAGGGAAAAGCACCCTGAGGCTGCAGGGCAGGCAGCTGAGGTTGTCTCCATTTATTGTCGGTGAGGAAAACCCCGCGAGTTAATAGAGTGCGATCTTTCCCGAGAGGTGTGCTGAGGCGAGGGGCCCTGGAGGCCCCCAGAAATAGCTTATAGCAACAGTGCTTCGACCAAGAGCTGCTGGACACATTCCCGGGGGGAAAGGCGCTGTCCCCTCAGCTCCTCCTCTCCCACAGCCATCCCAGTGGGGGAGTGGCCGTCAGTCCTTTGGTGGCAACAAGTCGGGAGAGAACAAACAACAGACAGGTGTGAGGAGACAATAGGCCCCCCATCCCCGAGCCCTGGGGTGGTGAGGACAAGCCTAAATGAGGGGCCAGACTACAGTGTGTTAAAGAGCCAGGATTAGCACCTACATGAAGCACGGCCCCTCAGCTGATCAGGAACCAGAACTATAGCTGGGGGCCTGCCACCCAGAGGCCCTCTCTGGGGGACTCAGCACAAGGGCACCCACCCACCCAGCACGCCATCACAGTCCCGTGTCCTGGGACGTGAGGTCTTGTTCCTATGGAACCAGAGGAGGTGAGGCAGGCACCTCCTAGAATGTGCAAGGACAGAGGAAGGGTTCTGTCCATCAGGCCTCTTCGTGTCTGAGGACACAGTGACTAACTCAAACTTAATCAGCGACTTCATAAATAGAGCTCCTGAGTGCAGAGAAACAGACTCAGGGCCACCTGCCCTAGAAAGGAAGGCAGGGACTCAGAGGCAGGGCTGGGGCAGGAAGAAGCCAATGCAACCAAGCCCTGCTTGCTGGCCTGCCAAGGGGGCAGAACCCTAGAGGCAGGAGACCAGGCCAGAGGCCAACCAAGGACAGACCTCGCGCCTTGGAGGACCTTCGGGTCAGGACTTTGCCAGCTAAGAATCCCGTCTGGATGTGGGAAGAGGGAAGAGGGACCAAGGAGCTGTCCATCACAGCAGGGGCTGGGCAGGACGAGGGGCAGCTGTGCTCGGCTGCTGCTGCCCCCTGGACTCAGGACCCTGCCTGCTCCTTGGGTCAGTCACAGCATCTGGAGTCGTCAGAACCAGGCTGGGCAGGGCTGAGCCTCAGCTGCCTGTGGCTCAGAGAAGAGGGAAGAAAACTTTGGCCCAGACCAGCCAGAGGACCCTGAGGAGGGAGAGGCCACCCAAAGGCTCCCTCCCCGTAAGTCATCTTTCCTCTCGACTGATCCTGAAGGGAAGCAGGTGCCCCCCGGCAAGCACAGCCCGGGATCCAAGACAGGACGGGTGGGAGTCCCCGGCTGGCGGCCCTCGCTGTTAGCTCTTGTCCCCGGGGGACTTGCTCTTGGTATCACGCTTGTTTCCTAGCAGCTTCAGCACCTTCATGGTCTTGAACTTCCCCTTCTTCTTGCCCTCGGGTTCAGCCTCCTTCTGGAACTCTGGAGAGCAGAAAGGGGAGCCCATCAGGGCAGGCCGGGGGCAGAAATGAAGGCCTGGGAGTGCCAGCCGGCGGGCTGGGCCCGGGTCCACCACCTCCTCTTGTGGAAGCTCGGGCATCACTTCACCTTTCTGAGCCTCTGGTTCTTGCCTATGGGATGGGAACCACACCCTCTCCCAGGGTTCCGGCAAGGACCCGGAGATAAACGGATTTCCCATTCTGGGAAACAATCTGGGAACTCTGAAGCGTGGCATAAATTTATCTTTAAAAGGCTCCATTCTCCTAGGCTGGGGCTCACAGCTCCGTGGGTTACAACACAAACACTGACTGTCAGAGTTAGAAGAAACCTCAGAAATCATCTGTCCTAGCCCCTAATTTTATAGACAAGGAAAATGTGGGTTTTGAAACGGACTAACCCCAACTGAGCTCTCTGCAGGGGCCAGGCCTGGGGCTAAGTGCTTTACACACATTATCCCAGCAGTCCTCACTCAACACACGCCTGAGGGGGGTGCCCCTATCACCCCCGTTCTGCAGACAAGGACAGTGCGGCCTAGAGGGTGACGTGGCTGGCTCAAAGTCACCCAGCTGGTAAGCGCCAGGGCTGGGGCTGGAATCCTAGCAGTCTGACTGGAGTCCAGACTTAACCATAAAGCCACAGAATGAGTCATGGGTGGAGCCAAGATTAAGCCCAGGTCTCCTGACTCCCATCCAGTGCTCTTTGAACCAGTCCAGGCACTATCTTGTCCCCGGCAGGCACTGCTGTTTGAGCCCGCAGACCCCTCCAAGACCAGCAGCAGATCTCAAAGAGGAACACAGAGCCCAAGGCAAACCACCCTGGGAGAGTGCTCCCCATGAATCACAGTCCTCCCTGTGGGGACCAGGGCATCCCACGCCCACCTTCCCAGCCCCGGCCACGGCCTTCTTGGCTGTAGACTGGCCTGCCCTGCCACACACGTCCTTCCCAGCAAAACAGAAGCTGGGAGCTTGCACACACTATCCCTGCAGCGCCCACTCCAACCCTCTGTTCAACCTGCCCCCACCCTCCAGGAGTTCAAGTGGACCAGAGCCCCAAGAGGCCTCACCTTTCTTCCTGATCATGGCTTCCAACATCTTGTCCTCCTCTTCCTCCCTGAAACGAGAAAGGGAAGCTGAGTGTCCCACAGGAAGAAGGACCTTCCAGCCTCTGAGTACACACCGAGTTGAACAAGGGTGCACTGGGATCGCTGGCAGTGACTGCAGGGCTGGCCGAGCATGCTCTGGGCCCCTCCCCCGAGGACCCCAGGGGAGCCCCTCCCCAGCCATGTCACCTCTGCCGGTCCTCGTCCAGGCAGTTGACAATGGCGTTGCGCTGCTCGATGAGGGTCACAAGCTCCTGCATCAGCACCTTCTCGCGGCCCCGGTCCTCCTCTGTCCAGTCCTTTTCTGCCCAAGGAGAAAGTTGTTGGGAGTGTGAGTGATGCAGAAACCCTCCTGTCTTCAGGAAGCCAGAAACCAGTGCCTAAGTGCTAAGGGGGCTGCGGGCCAGGCCCGGGCTAGATCCTAGAGGATAGGAAGGAGGGGCCCAGATGGGTGGGGATTGCAAGTTTTTGGAGAAATGAAGGTTGTTACAGAAGAGACCAAGGACACTAGGCTGCCTCCCAAAAAACCCTTCCAGGGGCCTTGGGAGGACCAGCACAACACGCGTCCTGAGAACAGAGACCAGCAGTGCCAAAGAGTTTCCTCCTTCTGTTTCACAAAGGTGAAACCCACCTGTTCAACAAAGGTTCACTAGGTGGGTTTTGGAGGAGGCAGGATTTGGCTGGGCCTACTCAGAGCCTCCAAAGGCGGCTAGCCGGAGTGGGGCAGGGGTGGGGAGATAACAGGGACCCCAGGGGTCCACATGCAGGAGAAGCAACATGACCCAAGTGGCATACTGGGGCATTCATCTAACGCTATGAAGGAGAGCAGACTAGAGGGGACCCTGGGGGCAGGGAGCCCAGCCAGGTGTCCCTGATGTCTCATACACCTGCTGCCCCTCCAGCCTCCTCTCAAGAACTCGAGCCTTCCCACAGGACCACCCTCGGGGGCCCACCTGCACCTTGTATTCCTCTCACCAAGCCCACAGGCTCCCGGCGGCCTTCCCTGTCAACATCTGCCACCACAGGCCTCCCCATCTCAGAATAAACATCCCGAGGCCCCCTCAGCCATGCCCCAACCCCCTCTGCCTCACCTTGCCAAAACTCAGGAACAGGTAGCCCAGCATAGTTCTGGGGACAGCATGGGCTTCAGAGTCACCACCCCAGTTCACAACCTACTCTGTCACTTTCCAAATCTGGGGCCTGGGTAAGTTATGTCCCCAGTCCAGGATATGCTGGCACCACACAGAGGCCTAGAGAAGCAACACAATAAGCCCAGGACCAGGGGCCGGCCCCGTGGCGTAGCGGTTAAATGTGTGCGTTCTGCTGGTGGCGGCCAGGGTTCCGATCCCGGACACGCACCGATACACCACTTGTCAGGCCATGCTGTGGTGGTGTCCCATATAAAGTGGAGGAAGATGGGCACGGATGTTAGCTCAGGGCTGATCTTCCTCACAAAAAATAAAAAATTAAAAAAAAATAAGCCCAGGGCCAGGCTGGCCTGGGGTACACGGGTGCTGCGCCCACTCTGGCCACCAGGTGGCACTGCGGCTCCCTCTGAGTAACTGCCACGCCCCCAGCCTCCAGGAGATCTGGGAGTGACTCATAGATGGCAGCAGAAGTTTGGGACATTCTGTGGTTTCCCCAGGGACACTCCGGCCTCCCAAGTTCCCCAGGCAATAAAGAAACAGGGCCACTGTCCCAGCGGCAGGAGGGCTGTGTGCACAGGGACAGACCTGTCAGAGACATGGATGGAAGCCCAGCTCCACCACCAGTGGGCAAGACTCCACCTCTCTGGGTCTCCATTTCCTCATCTGTTAAATGGGAACAACGATGCCCACCACCTGGGCCACAGGAAGTGGTCAAGAGCCCTGGCCCCCGGCTCTGGACACTCCACAGTCTGCGGCTTACTCCATGTCATGGCCACAGACCCCAGCTCAGCCACGTAATAACCATCAACCATACCATCTGCCCCTCAGAAGACACAGCGTTTCCACATCCACTATCTCCTCGTCCCAAGGATACCCTACAGGGTGGGTACCTTCATCCCGTCTTACACGTGAAGCCACTGGGTCTCAGTGAGGCTAAGAAACCTGCCCAACCTCCCCTGGCCTCCCTCCCCAGCACGTTAGCACCACAACACAGGACTGTGACTCCACTCGTCCCTCCCGCTGCCCCTCCACCATTCAGAGCTCGTCCGTCCCTCCCTCCCAGAGTCATTCTGAGCCATGCTGTGCAGGTGGTCCTTCCACCTCTCCCCCACCTCCCCACACCGGTTAGGTCCTGCCATGCTCTGACCTGATGGCCGTGAGCCCAGAGCTGCCTCTGGACAGGCATCACTGTCACCCACTCATCCGGGGCAGCCCTGGGCCCTGAACCCCTCTGCACTGAGGACCTGCCGACCCACATGTTCCAGGAGAGGGGGTGGCCAAAACGGGCTGGTCTGCTCCTGGGCCTGGTGCTCTCTGCGAGCCCGTCATCCCTGACACCACGTGTGTCCACACCCGCACCCTGGCCACGCTGTTCTCTCTCCTGCCATGGCTCGAGCCTATTTATCACCCATTACGACCCAGACGGCATCTCCTGGCCCTCTCCTCTGGCCCTGTTCCCCAAGTCTGCCTGTGCATCCTCATCAGGGCTCTGTCTGTCCGTCCACTCTGCAGCCTAGAGAAGAACGGGGCCCACTCCTCCGGGCCAGCAGGCCCTGGGGCAGAGGAGTGCACGTGGCTGCACTCACCTGGCTTATTGAGAAGGCACCGCAGCTCATACTCCACGTCGGCCTGGCGCTGCTCCAGGTGCTGCTGCTTGAAGCTAGAGGGTGGGAACAAGCCGACTATGAATTCTGTCCCATGCGCGGCTGCCCTGCCCTGTGCTGTCAGTGATGGGGGAAGACGGGAAAGATTCTCTGTTCTAAGATCCCGGATTCCCAGGAGGGGAGCAGGGGGCCGGGGGGAGGGAGGACTCACACATAGATGAGCTCCGACTCCCGCCGCACCAGCAGGTGCTTCTCGTGGATGAGCTTGAACCAGTCCACCAGCATGTCGTCCTCACGGCCCTCTGGAAGCCAGATGCCCACTGAGGCCAGGGTGGGCAGCAGTTCCCGCCCTCAAAGGAGCCGCCCCTAAGTCCCACCCTGCAGGCCCTCCCAGCAGCTCCCTCACCGTTTGCCCCGCCACGCAGCTTCTCCTCCAGCAGAACCCCACGGTGTTCCAGGGCATCCAGCTGGCGCTCGATGGTGTCCATCTCTCCGTAGATGTCCTCCTCGGGGATGTACTGGTCAGCCTGGACCTGCCCGACAACGCCCTGGTCACCTGAAGAACAGCCCACCTCTCCCACCTGCCTGCTGCTAGGAGCTTTGCCATTTCTCCGGCCAGCACTGGCCACCACAGGCCCAGGGCCCTGGCTCTGTCCCAAACCCCAGTGTGGCCAGATGCAGGATCCCAGTGTGGGGCAGAACTGGTTTGGGGATAACCTCCATGCCCTTGGCCACAGCGCTGACAGGCACACCCAGAGGGAGGCACAACTTCCTGTCTCGCATGGCAATCCCTCCCACTTCTCTGCCACTCCAGAAATGACAACACAATGTGAGCAAGTGACCCTATTAGAGAAACTTGAGAACACGCTAATCTGTTTAACTAGAAGTATATCATGTGAGCACTTTGATCCTTGAACTATTGCTAGTAACATGTTCAATGCACCACCCACTGCTCTTGCTGGAGAACAGCTGATCTAGGGCCGGCCCGGTGGCTTAGCGGTTAAGTGCGCGCGCTCCGCTACTGGTGGCCTGGGTTCGGATCCCGGGCACGCACCGACGCACCGCTTCTCCGGCCATGCTGAGGCCACGTCCCACATACAGCAACTAGAAGGATGTGCAGCTATGACATACAACTATCTACTGGGGCTTTGGGGGAAAAAAAAAGGAGGAGGATTGGCAATAGATGTTAGCTCAGAGCTGGTCTTCCTCAGCAAAAAAAAGAGGAGGATTAGCACGGATGTTAGCTCAGGGCTGATCTCCCTCACAAAAAAAAAAAAGAACAGCTGATCTAATCGAAATCCCCCCCACAGCTGCGAATTAAACCTTCCAGCTGGGCCACCCAAGTGCCCCCTCTCCGACATCTGAGGGCAGCTGCCCAGACAGCCCATTCTCTCGAGAGTCCTGAGCCTAAGGCTGCGAAGGGCAGAGGCCCAGGCAGCTGGGCATCTGCGAGCTCCCAGCCAGTACCTTGCGCTTGATGAGAGGGAAGCCGTGTCCTGGGGCAGGCGGCCTCGCTGGCTTGGATCCCTTGGTGACCTTTGTGGTTGGGGATGCTGTGGGTGATGCCTTCCGGTTAAAAGGATTCTCCTTGCAGGAAGACTACAGGCAGGGAGACATGACAGAGGATAAGCCTGGGGACGGGGCAGTTAGACCTCAGCAGCCTGGATCATGTGGGACTATGGAAAACAGGCCTGGAGCTCAGGGCAGGAGGACTTGCCTTCAGAGGAGGAAGGCCCAGGCAGAGAGCATCTCCCAGAATTCAGTCTCTGATGCACTTAGCCATTCAACAAACACTCCATGTCTGAGCACCTCCCATGTGCGGTGGCTGCACCGGATACTCATACATTCTTATTTAGTTCTCACAACCACTTGGCAGGTGGGTATTGTAATGCCCATTTTACAGCTGAGTAAACTCAAGTTCAGAGAGGTTAAGTAATTGGCTCAAAGTCAGGCACTTCCCAAGGGCCCAAGCGAGGGTGAGAATCTGTTTCAGGGCTGGGGCAGCCATCCAGCCTTGGGGGCAGTGGTCAGAAGTTTAGGGCCAGACAGAGCTATAGTGGCTCATTCAGGACTCACAACCACCTTTTCCCAGCAGAGACTCTCAGGCTCAGAGAGGTGAAGCTCTTTGCCTAGCATCGCCCAGCCAGAAAGTGTGACAGCAGGGATCCTACCTTCCATCCAGCCAGCAGATGGAGAAGGAGGGTAGCTCCCTCCTGCCCAGGAAAGACCCCTATCCTCTGCTGCCCCCCCTCCATGCACCCAGAGCCCTACATCTTTCTGTCCCTCTGGGGAGACCCCTGCCCTCTCTGAGGCCAGCACAGCCAGGCAGCCCCAGCCCTGGGACAGGGCCCTGCCCACGACATGGGCAATGCCAACATCTTCCAACCACTCTGCCCAGCTCATTGGAAACAGAGGCCTCACTGGAGACCGGCGACTGCTCCCAGGAGTGTAGACCGCGCTTTCTCCCAGCAGCAGGCAGAGGCAGGATGGAGCCCTGGTCACTGCACCACCAGCGCAGCCCAGGGAGAGACTCCTTCAGGTTGGTAGTTGCTGGGATTTCTGAAGCAGGGTGAGTGCAGGGCCAGAGTCCGGCATGGCAGGGAGACAGAGTGTGGTTCACCCAGGGCAGCACCCAACCAAGACCCCTGTTTCCTGCCCCCACTGCCTCTGGGATTCTGTCCTAATCCTGGGGTTAGGGTGGGGGATGGGGGCGCCCAGAAGGAAGCCCACTTGGGGCTCGCACCCTCCTTCCACAATCACACCCCGAGGGGCCCAGCAGGACCAAAGAGCCCAAGCCCCAAGCCCCTCAAGGGTTTTCATCAGCCTTTTCTCAGCTACAGAACTTCAAACCAACCTGTCACACAGCCCAGGACAGGAAACAAGTGTTTAAAGGGAACTGCCTGAAGGGAGGGGTTGTCCAAAGTCAGCCCCCTGCCCCACCTCCCACCACCAAGGAACCCTGGGCCTCCTCAGAGCAGCCTGAGGCCCAGAGAGGGTGAGACCTCCTCAAGGTCACACAGCAGTGGGGTAGCAGAGCTGGACAGGAGGCTGTTGCCCAGGCCAGGGAAGGTTAAATGTCTCAAAGGCGTATGGGTAGGGGCTGGACCGACAACTCAGCCCCCTCCCCAGACTTATCCTCTGTCAGGTGGGTCAAAGCACGACTACAGCTGCCCCATGTGAGCTGTCCTGCCACCCTCCACCCAGGGCTGGATGAGCCTTGGGCCCTCAGAGGGCTGTAGAGCGCTGGGCAAAAGTGGACGATCAGAACCTGGTGGCCCAAAGGGGCTATGGCTGCAAGAGAGGCCCCTCGGGAACCAGGTGCCCAGAGGAATGTCCTGAGCCCTGGTGACCCCCAGCTCTTGACATGCGACTGAGAAACAAGTGCGCAAACAGTCCACAAAGGTCATCTGGAAAACGAGCTCCCTGGGATGGGCGCCCAGCCGGACCATCCTCGTGCCCACTCCACGGGCAAGGCAGGCCTGGGAGGGGGCCTCCGGCATACACGGGGCCTCAGTGGATGCAAGTGTGGACAGAAGGATGTGCACATGCAGGGTGGCTGGGAGAATGGGTCCCAAATGGGCACATGCACGGGAGAGGCAGGCAACCAGGTGCCTGGATGCATCAATTCACGGAGGGCCGGGGGTGGACAGGTGAGTAGAAGGATAGGAGGTCTGGCTGATGGACGGAAGGATGTGCCTCAATGGATGGAGCAGTGAAAGGGTACATGTATACAGCCAAGGTCAGTCAAGAGGTCAGAGGCCAGCAAAGATGGAAGGCCCTAGACATTCCTGCCCTGAGAGCAGACCCCCATCCACAGACAGGACAGCAGGGGTGAGGCACTCACCTTTACCTGGAGCTGCGGGGACGAGGTTCCAGGGGAAGGCACAGGGCTCTTGTCTCCAACCAACAAGAGAGGGGTGGGGGCAGCGCCACTGCGGGGCTTGGCTGGCTGGGGACCCAGGCTGCCCCTAGCATTGGGGGCAAGGCCAGGGCTGGCTTGCGGCGTCCGGTCCACACTGGGCTGTACCAGCTCCCCAGAGGAGGACAGGGAGGAGTTGGTGGAGAGGCTGGCAGAGGTCCCAGGAGTGCCGGGGGCATGGACAGCAGGGTCTGAGGAGCTCTTGGGCACGACTGGTGGCTCCAGAAGCTCCCCAGCAGGGGTCTGGCTGGAGCCCTCGGACGACAGACTCTCCACGCTGAGGGCTGGCGACGGGGTAGCCGAGGGCGGCTCCGAGTGGGAGAGGCGGGAGGTGTGGAGAGCTGTACAAACAGATGCGCAGTGAGCACCACGCGAGGGGGCACAGTTAGGGCTTCCGGCCTCACCTAATACACTCCACTCTCAATAGGGCTGCAGGTGGCCCTGAAACCCAAGTCCTTCCATGTCCACACGAGGCCAGGGCCCAGAGAACAGCAAATGCACGACAGGTCCTTAGTGGACAAACCATCAAAATCCACCCCGTGCTCTCTGGGCTCTGGCGTGCCACCTCGTGGCACATGGAGTCCTGTGTGTCCTTACCAGCCCTCACCCCCTCATCCACCGTGGTGCTGCCTCCACTTCCCCTCCAGGTCTCACCTGACCCAAAGCAGAGCCGAATTTAAAAGGCAAATCTGCCAGGGGAGGGGAGGGCAGGCAAAATCAAGGTTGGCCTCTCTGTCTCTGACCCCAGAACGGAGGTGGGAGGGAGGGCACAGGGGAAGGAGGAGCGGGCAGCCCTGCAGTGGCCAGCTCTGGGCCAGGACTGCCTGCACCACTTTATTTTTTTTATTTTTATTATTTTTTTTGTGAGGAAGATCAGCCCTGAGCTAACATTCATGCTCATCCTCCTCTTTTTCTGCTGTGGAAGACCGGCTCTGAGCTAACATCCATTGCCAATCCTCCTCCTTTTCTTTTCCCCAAAGCCCCAGTAGATAGTTGTATGTCATGGTTGCACGTCCTTCTAGTTGCTGTATGTGGGACGTGGCCTCAGCACGGCTGGAGAAGCGGTGCGTGGGTGCGCGCCCAGGATCCGAACCCGGGCCGCCAGTAGCGGAGCGCACGCACTTAACCGCTAAGCCACGGGGCCGGCCCTGCCTGCACCACCTTAATCTTCACGCGGATGACAGACACCATGGTTCAAAGTATCGCCATCTGCGTTTTCCAGATGAGGCAACAGACTCAGAGAGCAGAAGGCATGTGCCCCAGCACCGGCTGGGACTGAACACAGCCGTGTCTGACTCAGAGCTCATCCCAGCAGCTACATGCCGCACACGCCCACCACCTCCACTCGGCCGACCACGCTCAGCTGGAGGGTCCCGGGGCTCCAGCAGGGGCCGGAGCATGGACCCCGGACCCCTGAGCACCTGCCTCTGGTCATCTCTGACATGCTCTTGGCCCACTGTCTGAGGGGCTCCTCAGAGGTCTCAGAGGCAGCCGGACCCCAGCTGTGGTGGAAGGTGACCAGGCCCAGGGCTCAAGAAGATTGCAAGACACTGAGAGCCAAAAATACAACGTGCCTGGATGAGAGGGAGTGCTGGGCGGAGGGAGGACGCGCCCTGGAGCTGGCCCACCATCACCAGCTTCCAGACGGAGAGACAGGACGGACACGGAAGGAACTGCTCACAGGCACTATGCCTGTGTCACACACAGCCAGGCCAGAGCCCGGGGCGCCCGGCAATGGGGGACAGTGACGAGACAGGCAGGATTTGAGCTAACCCCTGCCACGTACTTTCTGCGAGCTCAACTCTGCAAAGCACTTCACCAAATAATGCATTTAATTCTCACAACAGCCCTGTGAATGGGTTATGTGGGGTTAAGAGTATGAAGTCTGGAGCCTGGGTTCAAATCCTGCCTCCGATGCTTAAGTGCTGTGAGGCCTTGGGCAAATCATTTACCCTCTCTGTGCCTCAGCTTCCTCACCTGCAAAATGGGGGTAGGAAACCTACCTCACAGGTTTGCTCTAGGATTAAATGAGAGGACACACGTGAAACACGTGGCCCTGACCTGGAGGGGATCCCGCTGTACCACATCCCCTTCCCTGGCACTGGGCTGACCCCAGAGTTCTGACTGCCAGGAGAGCTCCCAGGGAGGGCACTCACCGAGTGGGGACGCGCTGGGCGCGCGGGGAGCAGGGCGCTTCTTTGTCTTGGGGCTGCTGGTGGGAGTGATGCCATACCAGGGGTGCAGGGACTTGGGTGTGGACTCAGGGGGGGCCAGGCCAGAGCCAGGGGCCAGGCTGGGTGCAGCGGGGGGCTCCTCCTCCTCCTCCTCCTCAAAGGGGTTGTAGGGCTTGGGCTCTTGGCCAGCCGCCGCCAGGCTCTGTGGGGCCACCTCCTCCACGCCACCATCCTCAACCGGCCTGCTGTCCCGCCTTGGCGGCCGAGGGCTGCTGCTTGGGGGCAGGGGGGCGGGCTTCTTCTTTGGCTCTGCCTGCACCAGCGTGATCCATGGGGGGTCCTTCCTGGGGGCTGGTGTCCTGGAGGGAGGCAAGAAGAGGCAGAAACCATTAGGAGGCAAGGGGGGCATTGTCCTTCTCTGGACAGTTCTGAGTCCATTCCAGAGGGGGAGGATGAGAAACTAAGCCCTTCTCCTCTCCCACCCCCAGTCCAGGCAGGCCAGTCTGGGCCCAAGGCTGAAATGGACTGTTACAGTCACATCCCAACTGGGCCCCTAGATGCCCAGAGAGGGTGAACCTTCACATCACACAGCCCCCTTAGCCCAGCCCAGGAAAAGACTCATAAGGGCTCCCTGTGTGACATTGAGACAGTCACCTGCCCTCTCTGTATCAGTCTCCCGCCCCTGAAATGGGGACAAGATAATCCCTGCCTCACAAGGTCACTGTAAGGCCTGGCACAGAGCGTGTGCTCACTGAGCCTTAGCCACTATTACGGCTGTGCCCACCTCTCTCCCTCACGGACCACGGGGAAGCACGGCTCCCAAACCTTAGCTGGAAATATATGACCTCGCCTGGGATGCAGGGTTCCAGGGGTGGAGGATCTGAGCCAGGTATACAGCTGAGCTTTTCTGGGTCTTTCTATACTCTGCTGCTAATTCTCACAACTCCATGAGCGAGGCCTAGGTCTCTCACGTTACAGAGGCAGCAGAGGCTAGAGAGGTGAAGGGACTCCAGAGATGGCCGTCTCCACCAGGCACTGCTGCCCACAGGAGCAGGGATCCCAGGGGAACCACAAGGAACGAGATGTGGGCACAGTGCCCCACCCAGAGACAAGCCCTGCCCGTTCTCGGGAGGGTGTGCTGGTGGGTCACGTGTTCACAGGAAGCCTTGCCCGCCCTCCCCAGGCCCCAGGGGAACCCGTTCCAACCACCAGGGCCTTGAAAGCCTCTCAGGGCCCAATGTACCTCTCTGACAGCTTGGGCGTCCCTCTTGGCTTGGGGACGGGGGGTTCGTGCAGCTTTCCTAGATGGGAAAGGAGAGTGAGACAGGCCTTCATGGGCAGCTGGGCTGGGCAGCAGAGCGGGGCACCCAGGGAGCCAGCCAGAGTGCCTGCCTCACCACCAAGGATGCCCTTCCTTCCTGCCTGGCAGGTCATGGCCTCCAGGTGGCCTTGGCAACCTCACCTGCACCCTGGCACTCCCCAGCCCAGCACTCAGGGAGATTAGATAAGCACTGAGAGTGACAGGTAGAGAAGGTCACAGGGACAAGGCCAGGACACCTGGAGACCCCATCTGCATTTCAGATGAGAAGGGGGAACCCAAGTGCCCCTAAGACATTTTCCCAGTGTGGACAGGAAACATTGTCTCAACTCAGCCCCACTGTCACCTCCTCCTGGAAGCCTCCCCTGACTCCCAAGTGTCCTCCATGAATCCTACAAGAGCCTCTGCATCCCCCATCTTTGAACAGACTTTTACATCCTACCAAAATCCCTGCATCTATGCCTGTCTCCACGAGACTGGCAGCGCCTCGAAGGCACAAATAGGTCTGAACAGTATCTCTAACCCCAGTGCCCAGCTCAGGGCTGGGCCTCCTTGAGCGCGGAACAGAACTGAGCAAGTCCCAGAGGGAGAGCCTGGGAGCGTCTCTCCCCCAGGTCCCCACTGATCACTGATAAGGTTGCCCAGCACATCTCAGGTTACAAGGAGCCTTGTTTCCATGAGCTCATGGAAGCCCGGGTAGGTCATCTGGGAAGGTCTTGCAATGAGAGGCTGGGGCAGGGTCTCCACTACAGTTTAGACCAGGCTGGAGAGCCCTCAGAGGCCCACCTGAGCAGGAACACATCCTCACCTGTCCCCTGTCCCCAGCCCCTGAACTCTCCCTGCCAGACATCCAGACAAAGCCAAGCACATGGGCTGGGCACAGGAGGTGAGGTCACCTGGAGTGTGCACGCAGACTGGCCAGGACACACACAGTCCCAGAGACACTCGGGACACAGGCACTCACGGTGTGCACTCACTATACACCCCAAAACTGAAGCATACGAGACAGACACAAAAGAACAGCCTGACACACAGAATGGGCCAGCTGGGCAGGGACCTGTGTCTGTTTTACTCGAGCTGCCCCCCAGCATGGAGAACAGAGCATGGCACGGAGAGGTCGCAGCAACTATTTGTTGCACGAGGTAATAACCTCAGAAACACTAATCACAGCACACACAGGCACAGAGTGTGGCCCCACGAACGCTCCCAGTGCACGTGGACACTTAAAACGCCAGACACCCCCGCGAGCACCCAGCCCCGCTGGACTCTTGCTCACCATTCACCAGGCCACTGCTGCCACTCTGCTCCAAGTTCTCATGCTGCAGACTGGACCGGGGCCGGGGCGTGGGGGGTGTCGGGGCTGTGTTCTCCGAGGCCTTCCTGGGGGCAGGCGTGGGGCGGCTGGCCGGGGGGCTGGCCAGCTCCTGGGGTTTGCCAGGAACCGGGGGCTTGGTGGGGATCTGGGGCCGGGCCTCAGGGCTGGCCTTGGGCGTGTCCACCTTAACCCCTGCAGCCGCATGAGGGCAAGGACTGTCTCCCTCCACATCCTTGGCTTCTTCTGCAAGTTGCTGCTGCTTTGGCTGTCGAGGGGGCCCGAGCTTGGCCCCTGGCCACCTAGCCAGGCCCCGCCTGGCGCAGTGCTCCGCACACACAAAGGTGCCCTCCTCGGGCCCACTCCTGTAAGCTCCAGGGAGCAGGGTGCTGGAGCACTGCTGACACCTGCCAGGGAGAACAGGGGTGGGGGGTATTCAACTTGGCCAGACAACCCGGCCCAGGTGCTGGCTACCCCTCCTCCAGCAGCCCAGGCTGTTCCCTCCCTCCCCTCTTCCCAACTGCCAGCCTGGATCCTGTCTCAATACCCTGGGCTTCCCAGAGGAAAAGGAAAATGGTAACCATCAGAGTCACAGCAGAACAATAAAACTAAGTGAAACCAGCAACATGCATTGTGAAACATGCCCCCAGTGTGTGCTGCAGGAGGAAGTGAAGGGCCCCCCAGAGGTAGCATCCAGTGCGGACTGCACTCATCAGGGGCTCAGGAAATCGACTTGGTTTTCAACCAACCAGGGTTTTTTTGTTGTATTTATGAAATAGAATAAAATACAATATATCAGAGTGGATCACACTTGTTTTACGAAACTCTAATTCCAGTGTGCATCTATTTATAGAAGTTTTATTTCAGGGATATATTTACAACTGGTCAGAGTGTCAAATGTATTTCTTACTGGGAGTCACTGTAAAAAGGGTTTAAAACACTGCCTGGTGGCCAGACATGACCGTGTCAGCGTAATGGTTCCCTGCTCAAGAATTTTCCCCATGACACCTCAGCTCTGCCATCAGGTCCCTGGGTTCCAGATCCAGCCACCACACACACAAACACACCCTCACAAACACACGCTCACTAAACCACGATCAAATGCATGTTGTAACTCTCAGTCCCTGGCTTCCCTTGACTATTCAATTTTGTTTACTGATTTCTTTTTGGTAACATAGAAAGTGTTCATACCTTTTCTAAGTTATTTGTATTTTCTTTTCTTTTCTTTCTTTCTTTCTTTTTTTTTTTTTTTGGTGAGGAAAATTGGCCCTGAGCTAACATCTATTGCCAATCTTCCTCTTTTTGCTGAGGAAAATTTGCCCTGAGCTAACATCTGTGCCCATCTTCCTCTACTTTGTATATGGGACGCCGCCACAGCATGGCTTGACAGGGGTGTGTAGGTCCGCACCCCGGATCCGAACCCATAAACCCCGGGCCACTGAAGTGAAGTATGCAAACTTAACCACCACGCCACCGGGCAGGCCCAGTTATTTGTATTTTCTTTGCCTCATATTCCATTTTCTTTAAACTTCACTTCCCCTGGGAACCACACACTGAAAGCAAGACGTTATCGTGATTTTTTTTTTAAATCCTTTCTTTTTTCAACAGCTTTTAAAGCACCTTCTGCTCCTTGAACACCATCAGGTAGTCCAGTGCTGAAGGAAGAACCCCTGAGCTCCAGCCCCGTTTCTGTCTCTCATTATGTGACTGAGCAAGGCTTCTCCCCTCACTAGGCCTTAGTTTGCTCATCAGTAAAATGGAGATAAGCAAGATGCTCCAGCATGAAGAACCTGGCAAGGTGCCTGGCACACTGTGGCGCTGAATCCGCGGGTGCTCCCTCCCTTCCCCCAGGCTCCCCCGGCCACTCACCGGAAGCAGTGCCGGTGGTACAGCTTGCCCTCGGCCAGGTAACGCTGCACCAGGTGCACATGCTGCTGGCAGGCCGCGCATGTGCTGCTGGGGGTCCGGTGGGCGCCCTGCTCTGACAGGCTGCTGGGGGAGAGCTCCTCACCCTGCAGGGAACGGGGTGGGCAGATGGGGAGCAGAAGTGCGGTCACCAGTCCCCCTGTTCAAGAACACTCCTCCCCAATCCTCCTCAGGCCACTGTCCCCCAAGGTGGTAATGTGCTTCATCAGAGCCCCGGAGGAGTGGAGGATGGGAGATTGTCACCATTTGGCAAAGGAGGAAACTGAAGCCCAGAGAGGGGGAGAGACTTGCTCAAGGTCACTGAGTCAGGATGGAAACAAAATTCCTGACTCACAGTTTCTGGGACCCTCACCCCAGAAAGGCAGCTCCTGGCTACATAACCCTTTGCCTCGGCTGCTCTTGCCCCTCTCCCATCCCCACAAGTGGCCCCTGACGGGTCACTGTCCAATTAGGCCCACCTCATCTGCCTTCTCTGCCACCCCTCCTAGAGCTGCAGCAGATTTAAATCCCAGTTCCTCTACTTCTAAGCACCGTGACCTTGAGCAAGCTGCTGGCTCTCTGGGCCTTGGTTCCCACCTGTAACCCATCTCAGCCCCGTGCACGCTCACTGTGCAGCCCCCTGCCCGGGCTCCCTGGCCCTCAGGAGCTCCTGCAGCAATGAGCAGATGGGGGCCAGGTGGGAAAAGCTCTTTGCACACTGGGAAGTGCTGTCCAGATGTGAAGGGCTGGGTTACCCCCTAAGCATCATGGAGCAGGGGACTGGCAGTGTGGCCCCCACATCCCCAGCTGAGAGCCCTTGGACAAATGACCAAACCTCTCTGAGCCTCAGTTTTCTCATCTGTATATCAGGGCACGTAATACGGACATCCAGGGTTGCTGAGAGGATTAAACACAATCACGCTGGGAAGTTAAAGCTCTGTCTCAACAGGAGTCAGGGGGGCTGTGTTATACGGTGTTGTGGACTGCCCCACGCCCCCTTCCCAGGCCTGTATCTCCTGACCCTGCCCCCTGCCCTGGCCTAGGAAACTCTACATCCAAAGCCAACAGGAAAAGGACTGAGAACACCCTCTGAACAGCTGTCCCCCAAGCCCGCCCCTGCCCGCCCCAGGCATCTGCCTACCTGAGCCGTGTTTCCTGGTTCCGTTGGAGTAGGTGTTTCGGATGGCAGGGAAGAGGGTGCCAGGTCCTTTCTGGGTGCTGAGACACCAGCTGTCAAGAGACAGGAAAGAGACCTTGAGGCAGCTGGGAACGCTGGGGTCCCAGGAGGCCCCACCCTGGCCTATGACTGGAGCTCCGCAGCCATCACCTTTGGGCAGCCCACCCAACGCAGGGGGAGCAGAGCAGCTCCCGCTTCACACGGGCCAGGGATGCCTCCACTTCCAAGCTAAGTGCCGAGGGCAAGCAACTTCACCTCGCTGAGCCTCCACAGGGGGGACAGTGACTGCGCAGGGCAGTGTGAGCAACGAGGCAACAGCACCATCACAGAACTCACAGCGCCCTGAACGTGGCAGGACGGGCAGCTTCCTCCCACCAGGGTAAGGGGTTGGAGGGAAGGAAAAGAAAGGAACCACACGTGCTGGCCTGATGGTTCAGGAAGATGGGCTGGCTCCCTGGGGCCACAGGAGCTGCCTATGCCCCAGGGGGCACTCGCACCAGAGGAAACACAGCCCCCAACTGGGTGTCCTCTGAGACTCCCTCCATCATTACTGCAGTAAATATTCACCAAGCACCTCCTCTGTACCCAGTGATTAAAATAAAACCCCCAAATTCAGAAAACTGTACACCAAAAAAAGGGTTTTACTATGATAATTTATTTATTTTTGTTTGTTTGTTTGTGAGGAAGATCAGCCCTGAGCTAACATACATGCTAATCCTGCTCTTTTTGCTGAGGAAGACCAGCTCTGAGCTAACATCTATTGCCAATCTTCCTCTTTTTTTTTCCCCAAAGCCCCAGTAGATAGCTGTATGTCATAGTTGCACATCCTTCTAGTTGCTGTATGTGGGACGCGGCCTCAGCATGGCCGGAGAAGCGGTGCGTCGGTGCGCGCCCGGGATCCGAACCTGGGCCAGCAGTAGCAGAGCGCGCACGCTTAACCGCTAAGCCATGGGGCCGGCCCCTACTATGATAATTTAAAAAATAAAATCCAAGTTCCTTACTGTGGTCTAAAAGAGCGTTTACCAAACTTTGGGTCACAAGCCATTAATGGGCCCCGAAATCAATTCAGTGGATTGCAACCAGCACATTTAAAAGATCAAACAGACTAGAAAATATGTGCCCGCATCACATGAGGGGAAGGCTTGTTTCCTGAAACTTGTTTCAGTTACATACGTGTGCGTGAACTTGGACTGTGACGGGAAACGTATTTCTTACCGTGAGTCACGGTCAAAGATTTTGGAAGCCCAGCAGCCTAATCAAGTCCCACTCCCCTCGCCCCCTCTGTCCTCATCTCCCCCTTCCCCTCACTTCCCTGAAGCACACGGACCCCCTGCTGCCCCCTTGCCTGGAACATTCCTCCCCAGATCTTCACATGGCCTCCTTCTTCTCCCTGTTCAAGGCTTAGCTCAAATGTCACCTCCTCAGAGAAGCCCTCCCTGACCACTTACCTAGAGTAGCCACTTCCTCCTCCCACTGCTCTTCATCCCAATACCTTATTTTGTTTCCTTCACAGGACTCACCTGAAGTTATATTACTTATGACTTTGTTCTCTCTCCCTCCCCCATCCATCAGACTGCAGCTCTGTCTGTTCTCAGCAATCTCCCCAGCACCCAGCACAGTGCCTGGCACACAGTAGGGGTTCAATGAATATTTGTTAAATAATTTGTCAGGTGCAGGGGCTACGTAGCTGTGAACTAGACAGAGATGGATTGCAGGGGAAGAGAGAGGAGAATTCAAGATATTAAGACCAGGGGCTCACGTGTTCACCACTGGGCAGGGGCTACAAGAGCACCCGGAGTATATCAGGGCAGGCTGCTTGGAGGAGGCAAATGTGAAGATGAGAGAATGAGTAGAAAAGAATGTGCCAGGGGTGGGAGGGGAGGAACAGAAAATGGAGTTTGGGGCCGGAGGACCACCAAGAAGAAAGGCTTAGCAGTGGGCCGGCCCTGTGGCTTGGCGGTTAGGCGCGCGTGCTCCGCTGCTGGCGGCCCGGGTTCGGATCCCGGGCGCGCACCGACGCGCCGCTTCTCCGGCCAGGCTGGGGCCGCGTCCCACGCACAGCAACTGGAAGGATGTGCAGCTATGACATACAACTATCTACTGGGGCTTTGGGGGAAAAATAAATAAATAAATAAAATCTTTAAAAAAAAAAAAAGAAAGGCTTAGCAGTGAAGTAATATGGTGTGTTCAAAGAAGCACAATGTACACCTGAAATTTACACGATGTTATAAGCCAATGTGACCTCAAGAAAATAATTAAAAAAAAAAAGGAAGCAGATGAAATTTAGGACGACTGTGGTGGGGGCGACTGTGGTGCGGGCAGGGAGTGCTCAAGCTAAGTGGGGAGAGGCCCTCAGGGGCCCCACTAAGAAGCTGGACTTGGGGCCGGCCCGGTGGTTCAAGTGGTTAAGTGTACACGCTCCACTTTGGCAGCCCATGGTTTGTGAGTTCAGATCCTGGGCGCGCACTGACACACTGCTTGTCACACCATGCTGTGGCGGCGTCTCATATAAAGCAGAGGAAGATGGGCACAGATGTTAGCTCAGGGCCAATCTTCCTCGGCAAAAAAAGAGGAGGATTGGGGCCGGCCCCGTGGCTTAGCGGTTAAGTGTGCGCGCTCCGCTGCTGGCGGCCCGGTTCAATCCCGGGCGCGCACCGACGCACCGCTTCTCCGGCCATGCTGAGGCCGCGTCCCACATACAGCAACTAGAAGGATGTGCAGCTATGACATACAACTATCTACTGGGGCTTTGGGGGAATAAATAAATAAATAAAATTATAAAAAATAAATAAATAAATAAAATACACATGAGGGGCCGGCCCCGTGGCATAGCGGTTAAGTGCGCGCGCTCCACCGCTGGCAGCCCGGGTTCGGATCCCAGGCGCACACCGATGCACCGCTTGTCAGGCCATGCTGTGGTGGCCTCCCATATAAAGTGGAGGAAGATGGGCACAGATGTTAGCCCAGGGCCAGTCTTCCTCAGCAAAAAGAGGAGGACTGGCATGGATGTTAGCTCAGGGCTGATCTTCCTCACAAAAAAAAATAAAATACACATGGTGTTATCTATTCAATCATAATATTAATTTATATTGTTATGGGGAAGTAATAAGTTATTTTAATTTTTTTGCTTTTTTCTGTTCTAAATTTTCTATCATAAGCATGTTTTACTTTTAGTAAGGAAAAAAATCCTGACTTCATAGAATACTTTTTTTTGAAGAGATGGGGGAGGGATTGTCCATATGGAGGGCAGAGGCAGGAGGCAGGATTGAAATGGGAGAGGGAAGGGGCAGGGTGCCCTGAGGGACCCCCTCAGGTCCATGGACAGTAGTGACCCAGCACAGCTCAGGACACCTGGATCTCAACCCAGCCTATTTAGTGTTCCTGCTGTGTGACCTTGAGCTTCTTGCTTCCCCTCTCTGGGCCCATCTCTTTTCTGCAGAAGGAGAGGCCCAGTTGCCCCCAGGAGAGATTTCTGCATGGAGATTCTCCAGGCAGGGGGCTCAGTACACCCAGTGACCTGACTCAGAGCAGAGAAGTACCCTTGTAGCCCTCCCACCCCCGCCAACCACCCCTCAGTTCTCCAGCCTCTCAGTACTTAGGCCCTGAGGTCACTTCTGGGGAAGACACTGCACAACAGTCCCACAGGGCCACTTCCCTGCTGGAGGAAAAACCTCAGGGAAGCGTCTGCAAACAGGAAGTGAGGGTGGGTGCCAGAGAGGTGAACTCACACAGCGAATGAACTCGCCCTGCTCTGTGCTCTGACATTATTCTGCTCAGTTACTGCTTCCCGTGTTTGTTGTCTGTCTTCCCCACAGGACTGCGAGCTCCAGAGGGCAGCGAGCTCAGGCACAGCTGCCCCCCAGGCCCAGCACAGTGCAATTTTACTCAATAAATAGTTCAATGAAAGAAGGAATGATCCAGTGAATGAATGACGCCCTGCCTCCCTGGCTGCCTGTTTGCAGCTCAGAAAATAGTAGGACACATCCCCAGCCGGGTCCCCAGGGCCAGCCTCCCTGCAGGGCTGTCCCCCTCTCACCTTGGCCAGGGCTGGCGAAGTGGTTGTAATACTGGGACACGTAGGTCATGATGCTGAGGCAGTCAGGGACACTCATGGAGACCATGTCATTGGGGTCCAGGAGAGCAGGGATCCCCAGCTCCTTCTCAGCCACTTCAAAGGCCTGGGGTGCAGGAGTGGGGGCAAGTGTGGGGGTGGGGGCAGGTGTGGGGGTCGGGGGCAGGTACAGCGGTGGGAGCAGGTATGGGGGCAGGTGCAGGTGTGGGGGCAGGTGCAGGGGTGAGGGCAGGTGTGGGGGTGGAGGCAGAAGCAGCCACAGTGGGAAGAGGAGGAAGAGGCAGGGTTAGTGGATGCCCCTCAGCCTAGGCCCAGCTTCCCTCGGTGGGATGAGGGGGACCAGGGCAGGAGTGACTATAGGCTCCCCTCAGCTCTGGCCCCACATGACGACGTGGAGAAGGGGGAGGCCAGGTGCTCCAGGTACCAGCGGGCCAGAGGGAAGCAGGGGGTGGGCAGAGGAGCCGCCAGGGCCTGAGTGCAAGGCAGCTCCTCAGGGAGCTGGTCCAGGAGCCCCTTGCCTCAGCTCCTGCCCTGCAAGCCCCCTGCCCACTCCCACCCCACACACAGCCTCTTGGGCTTCCACCTGTCTGGGGACTTACCAAACGGTTATTCTCGAAGACATTGTCCTTGGAAAGTGAATCAAAATCTCTGCAAGAGGCAAAGTGGGGGAGGTGCGTTGAGGAGGTGACTGGGGCAGGGGTGTGGAGCAGGAAGGAGCTGAGTGGAGGTGACCTCATCCTAGCCAGCGGGGCCTCAGCAGGGGTGGGGAGGCGTCTGTGGACTGTCGAGGAGGAAACTGAGGCAACAAGCACATGCTAATAGACCAGGGCTGCCAGGCTGGGGCAGAGGATGAGCTCACGGCCCCCGGAGGCATCCAAGAAGAGGCTGGCAATCAGTCGGAAGCGGGGGCTCAAGTCTGAGCTTTCATGTTTAAGATCCCGTCCCTCACTGCAAGCCTGGACACCCTTCCCCAGGAAGCCGTGTCCTGAGTCAGTGGCAAAGACAAAACCAAGACCAGGACTAATGCTTGTAACAACAGGGACGTCCACGGATTGCTGGCACTGTGCTGAGCTCCTGTCTAGAATTGACTTTATTTTCACAGCAACTCTACGTGGCAGGTATCTACCCCATTTTACAGATGAGGCCTGGAGAGGGGAAGCCACCCAGCCCTGAGAATCTACATTTCTGGCCCTTCCACTGCATGTCACAAATCCGGAGAAGCCACACCAACTCGCTGAATCCCCAACCCAGCCCGAAGATGAATGGCTTTTTAATGGGGCCAGGAAAAGAAGAACGAGTCTGAACCAGACTGCAAACCATACATACTCCAGAGCTGCTGGCGCTGAACGACTGGCAGACCCCACTCAGCCACTCCTGGGGCAGCAGTGAAGGGTTTCCCAGTTTCTAAGCTGGGACAGGTGAGAGGCGGCAGGGCCCGCCCCAGGGACCCTGGGAGGGGACAGCTGGCTGGCCTGCTGGCTTTATTTATCCCCCTCTTCCCCCTCCGCACTCCAGGCTGCTGAGTGGCTGACACCAGCGGAGGCGGCCCAGCCTTCTTGCTCGGCAGCCTGCTGGGTGCACCCGCCCGAAGCCTTGCCCATCTATGGCTGAAAACTGCAGCCCTGACTGCCCCACACCGTGGGCCCAGGGGCCGGAGCAGGCAGCATCGCCTCCAAGGTCTGGGTCCCAGGCCCTGCTCCTCCAGGCCAGGCTGTGTGACCTTGGGCAGGTCAGCGATCCTCGTGGCCTTCATTTTCCCATCTGCAGACTGGGAAAAGCTCTAGGACCACTCCCAGGCTGCTGGGGAGGACTGGTCGAGTCCAGGCTTGGCAAAGGGCCGGCCTCACAGACCTAGGGAGTGGGCAAACTGCCCTCCTGCCCTCTACCTTCTCTAGGCAGAGTCCAGGTACAATGAACCGTGGGCAAAGGCAGGAAAGGGTGGCTTGAGAACCTGGAAGGAGGAGCTCCAAGGCTGGGCGGACTGGGGAGGGGAGGTGACCATGTTGGAGCTTCAGCCCCCTTGGCCACCTCTGGCCAGGCTGCTTCCTTCTCCACTCAGCTGGGTCCCTGACTCCCCTCGCTTTGCTACTGCCTGAGTATGACCCTAAGCCAGCTATTTAACCTCTAAACCTCAGCCTCCTGGTCTGTGACACTGTGAACAGGGGGACACCAGCCCAGCTCCCAACAAGGGCTTGTTCTGAGACCAAATGAGACAAAAGCAACTTGTCTCGGCTGTTTATTTCAGTCTCCCCAGCAGTGTTCCTAGAAGGCTGGGGTCACATTTTGTTCACTCTGTGCCCCCAACAGCCTACATAATTCCCGGTACCTAGTAGGCACTCAATAAATGTTTATTGAATGAATAAATGCTGGAAACAATGTGAAAACGATAAAGATTCCCAAGATACTACAGTTTTTCCTCCAGCTTCTTCCTCTGCCCCCACCTCTGTCCCCAATCCACATCGGGGCTTTGGTAACAAATATTTTCTGAGAGTTTTCAAAGGCCAAGGAAGTTCTATTTGGCTCTGGGGGAGATGAAGGGCACAACAATGAAACCCACATGGTCCCTGCCCTCAAGGGAGCTTAAAGATGCCTGGATGGTGGAGCCTGGCAATGAACTAGCCCCCTCAACACTGCAGTAGAACCCCACTCCCAGCAGAGGCAGGACCCTCAGCTCCAGGAGCCTGAAGCACTTTGGAAGATGATTCCTGCCCTCGGCCCCTACCCCGCCCCTACTGTCATGGACATCCTCCCCCCCCATTCGCTGAGGTCCTCTCTCTGCCCTGTGTGGGATGTGGGCCTCAGTTTTTCTCCTGTGAAATGGGCTGACAGCCCAACACTGGCCTGCCTTGCAAATGAATGTCTGGGCGTGATTCTGTATCTCTTCTCGGGGAGGGGGGGGGGGGAGCCACCCTCCACTCCACACCTCCTCCGGCCACATCCCTCCCCTGCTTAAAACCCCATAGCTCCCCGTGGCCCCGTCCACTCTCCTTAGCCAGCAAGAGGCCCTAGGCACTCTGGCCCAGCACGCCTCCTGGCCCTCCCTGCCAGGTGCTATGGGCTCCAGCAGCCCTCGCAGCTGTGTCTCTGCTCGGTGGCCCCCTCTGCCCAGAATGCCCTTCCCTCAGCCCTCACTTGGCTCCTGCTCTCTCCTGGAAGACTACAAGACGCCCTCGGATACAGCACTTTCCACGTGGAATTACCATCACTGCTGTACATCTGTTTCCCCTGTAGCTGTGGGAGACTGTGTGGGCTTCGTCTCTTGGCTGGCTGGTTGCTATCTGCATCACCAGGCACAGTGTCCGCACAGAATAGTAACTTGTCAACACTTGTTGAATAAATGAGGGAATAAGACACTTCCATCATCCCCCTACTGCCTAATAACACTGCTTATAGTAACTAATGTTAATTGAATGCTCATTACCTCATTTAACCCTCACAACGATCCTGTGAGGTAGGTCTTATTATTAACCCCACTTTACAGATGAGGAAACTGATGCCTGAAGGGGTCCAGGATCTACCCAAGGTCGCACACTTAGGACGTGGAGAAGCTGAACGCAAACCAAGCAGCCTGTACTTTGACGCTGACAGGCTCAGGCCCACCACGTGGCTGAGCTTCACACCTTCACGCACTGGCCCTGTCCCCTGCCTCCTGCCTCCCCACCTGCCCCCGCCCAGAACAGAAGACCCCTCGAGGCCTCCACTCCAAGGCATGCATCCAATTCGGGTGCCCTTCTCCTCCCTCCTCAAGCCACTGCTCCTGAGCCCCCTACCCCAGGCCTCTATCAGTGCAGATGTCACACGCCCCACAGCAGGCAGCGGCCCACCTGCGTCTCCACCTCATCTCCTTCACGTCTGCATCCACACCCCCACAACCCTCTCCTCCAGGGCCCAAGACAGCCCCACCCACCACCCAGACCCCGTACCACATGGCACCGTCGAATCCTTGAGACAACCCTCTCCCTCCTTCCTTCCTTCATCAAAGCCCGCCCAGGTGCTGTCTTTGGGGAGCGCAGGTCTCAAGGGGGGCCAGACACACAGAGACTCCAGAGCCTGCTAGGCCGCGGGAGCCCTGTTGGGGGCTGCAGCCAAGGCAGGCAAGGATCATGATTCTTGTCCCCGATTTGGAAGTGCAAGGAACCGCAGGCACCAGATACACTTGCACTCAATGCTTTATGAATGAATGAATGAACCAGGTTCCAGGGCCCACGGCAGAGGGAGCTGAGACAGAAGCTACAAGTCAACGGCTCTGAATAAATTTTCCCATGAGAACCTCACTGGGCAGCCGGGGGCAAGAAGAGGCCATTTCACACCCTGGAGCAGCTGGTTGGTGGCTGCCAGTGGAACCCTATGAGTCTTCCCAAAGCTGCTCCTCCTCAGTTCCACAGAGGATAGCAGGGCAGTGGGGCACACGCCTGGAGAGGCAGGGCTGTGTCCTAATTGGGGGGATCTTTACATCCACTCATCCAACCACTGTTAATGTAGGGTCCTCTGTGCCAGGCACTGTGCTGGTGCTGCGGAGAAAAGATGGCAGCAGGGAACAGAGGAGGGGTTCACAGTACTCAGAGCACGGGGGCCCCAGAGAGGGAACAGGCCTCAATGCCTCACGGGAAAGCGGTGCTCAGTGCGCCCGTTTGAGAGTTTAGTAGGTACAGGAGAGGCCTAGGGTCCCCAAAGAGGGCTCGGTGTCCCGTCAGAGTGAACGCCTTGGGGGGCTCAGAGTTCTTGGGCGGAAATCAGAGCGCAGTGGGCGGGGCCCGGTCCCTCGCGGAGGGACCAGCATGGGGGCGGTTCAGCGCCCAGTGGGCGGGGTCAGAGAGACCTGGTGGGGGAGGGGGCCCGAGTAGGGGGTCTCCGTGACCCGCGAGGCGTTCAAGGCCAGTGGGAGGGTCGGCGTCTGGGTCTCCGGGGGGCGGCGCCTGCCACCGCCCGGGCGCCGCGTCACTGAGGGGGGCGGGGGTCCCCG